TTTTCTTTTCAAATTATTTAACTGACCGATATAAACCTTTACTTCCAAATTTCTAATTCTGGTGTTGGACAAGAGCATTGTCTTCTCACGCGAAACATTCTGCAAACATTTATATTACTCCGAGAAAGTTGCTGATCGTTTCCAGAAAACTAGTGAGTGAGAAGAACATGGAGTTGGAAAAATAGGAGTGACGGTACAATATACTATGAAATAAAAGCATAGGGCTTTGTGGGGATCGACACTAGAAATGGGTGGAAAACAAGACAAAATGGAACAGACAGACGCATAGAGTTGGGATAAAAACAGAATGAAAGCGGTGCAGATAATGATAAATTAATTCCATTTGTCGACGGAAACATCCAGAAGGGCCGGATCTTGGTATGCGGACGGGAAGCTCCGGTGTTTGGCGACGAAAAGTGACGCTTCCGATTCGAACTGTAATAGAGATGTCAGAAGTATTCTGGCAATTCCTTGGTAACCTCGTGCGGATGGGTTCTGTCGCGGTCGGATTCAAAAGTGGAACGAAGCCAGTAAATGTAGACGAACAAGAGAATGATGACCATGAACATGACGATGCAGGAGACGAGCAGCCATTTGATGACGTCGGTCGGTTCTTCGCCTATTACAGCAAAGTACTCTTTTTTCTCTGATTCACAGCTCTTCTTGTTGTAATTCGGACCGTCTCTCAGCATACAGTAGTCGTTGTCTCTGTAAAATAAAAGAAAATACTTGCATTTCAATAGAAGAGTATACCGAATAATGATAAGTTTGTTGAACGACGGCAGTTGTTTCGACTTCGTACTGGTCTTGCACTTGATGCCAGCACCCAAACTGACAGGAATCAGAGAAGCAGAGTATTCGCTTGCATTGCTTTTGACAGTGTAGAAAGCGCCTCCCGAAGCTCTGCAAATCTTTTTCATTCATTCGACGAAATGACAAATATTTCGACGTACCCTTGAAGAGGCGACTGATCGTAAAGCAGTCCAGTTTTCGTTCCCGACTCTCCGTCCGTGATGACTGGTATGAACGTGCCCATCGGCACTTCGAACAGCACAACTTCGTTGTCAATTATCTCTTTGTAATAGAACTTGCTGGTGTACTGATCCTCCACCCATTCTGATCGACTGACTGGCGAATAGCTTTTGAATTCTGCGAGGAACATCGGATAGAATTGATCTGTGCGTCGTTAATTATTTCGCTTTTCTCTTAAAATCGCATTACCACTGAACACTTTTTTGATGTAATACTGGTGCATGAGAAAGCCTTGAGAACTCGAATAGTCGAGATAGAGCATATGACTGTTCGAATCGAACAGAGAATATTTCTAGAAAAAATATAAGCTTTAGAAACTAAAAAAACTGAAATTTCACTCACGAGAGCGTTCATGTTTGGGATTCCATTTGAAGTGTGCGGTGAATACAGATCACGGATTGGCGCTCCGTTCTCAACAAAACTTACAATCTTCGGATCGATTTCTTCAAAAATTGCGGACGCCTGTAAATTCCTAGTTTAGTTAAAATTCTCTAGAAACTCTTAAATTGAGTGGGCGGATACTGATGGCCAGGATATTCATTTTCCCTCTAATTGTCAAAATTCTCGGAGGAAGAAGACCGTTCGGATCACGCACGAGATGAACGCCTTTGACAGGATACTTGTGATAGTCTCTGAAAATACTTTATGAAAAGATAAATGTTCTGTAGACTTACGACTTCGGTTGATGCATGAAGGTGGGGCATTTACCGGGAGCGACATCTCTTTCGATGGAAACGTATCCATTTTGCTGAGAAACGAGAAGATACTGATTCGTCTGCAGTATTTCCGCGACGGAAGGCACGTCGGCGTTGCTGACAACGATTATGCTGAGCAGAAGCAGCCACTGAAAGCGTGACTGATACCGCATCCTTTTAGCTGCCGAAAATGAAGTGATTACAGCTGAAGTGATAAATAGTTTTGCCGAAAAATGCAACAAAAAATTTTTAAACTTTGAACTTTTAAAGGAGCAAATAGTTTCTACCGTCAGTATCCCGACACGAATATCGTATCTGATAGCGGCAGTTCAAAAATAGAAATTTTGCGTGTAAATGTCGCATAAAAACTGAATGTTTTTGTGCTAGATGAACCTCTAAAAAATATTTTCTACTTGTGCTCTGTTAGTCTTGTGCTCTGTTTTTATTTTCGATCAATGGCATCTTCGCCAATATTCGCATTTTCTGTTTGAACTGCCGCGTTTTATTGCGTTTGTCGGTGCAAATGCGCCCCAACCCACTCATGTGGGTCTCGCTGAATGGTGCTATAACGAAGTAGAACTCTAGTCCATTTTTTTGCTATCCTTTCTTCCGATTTGGACCGAAAAATCGTTATCGCCAATTCTTCACATATCGATCGATGATTTTAGGCGATGAACAGCGTTCAGATTCCCGGAATATGTGACCCGGAAGCCGCCATCGTTAAAAAAGAAGAAAAAGTAAGCATGTGAAAGAACGGAAAGATTCTAACCACCCAGAAATGTAAAAAATTAAAGAAAAGATTCAAATTGGCATTGGATTTTCGGGACGGAGCTATCACTATCGTCGAATGTCTGCGTAACCAATCTCCCGACGGAGAATTATACCGAGAGATTCAGGATTTGTCAGGTGCACAGAAGATTGGAAAAAAAAGACGATCACTCCAAAATTCAATTTGCAGAAGATGAAGTGAACATTCTGGGTACGGAAATCGCAGATAGCGCGTTCGATGAAAATCTGGACATTCGTGAGTTTTCACATATTCCAGAGCACGGGAACAAACTGATTGTAGATTGCGACAAATGCAACAAATTCTATCGTCCCTACTGCCGCCTCCATCCGCTCTTCAAAATTCCGGATCGATCAGTGAAAGAGGAAGACAAGTTAAATAACAAATCGTTCTCAGAGAACACCCTCCCGATTCTGTTCCGCATTGAGGAATCGAAGCTTCCGAACGCCGGAATGGGCGTCATTGCGACCACATTTATTCCTATCGGAATGGTATTCGGACCGTATAAAGGAGTTCGGGTGCAGAAGAAAAGCGAGTTTTATAAAGACGGTTATGCGTGGCTCATTAAGTGCCGCGAGAAGAAGTTTTACATTGACGGATCGCACCCCGAACGGTCTAACTGGCTCAGATTCATTAACAGTCCACGGCGTCAGTTGTCCCTCAAATTCCATCAATAAGTCAATCGGTTCCTACAGACGAAGATGAGCAGAATATGGTAGCCTTCCAAACGAACGGAAAGATCTTCTATCGAGTGATCAAGCCGATCAGAATCAACGAAGAGTTGCTAGGTAGGTTGTGAAAAGTGTGTTAGAACGCGAACTGCTCTCATTTCAGTCTGGTACGGAAATTCGTATGGCGGAGAGTTCGTCGCGTCGGAAGACGGCGGAAAACCGAAGAAGTCGAGCAAGAATCCGTTCATTTGGTGATTTTTTGTAATTTCCAATATTTCTCACTTGTTTTTTGGCCGCCCAGAATTTGGGGTAGGTATTGTTCATGCCATCTTCTGTGAATAGTGACCGTTTCATTTTGTAGATGTATACTTTTATCTGACCTGAACTTCTGACATTATAACTCTTCGTAAAAATCATGGTTTTTTCAGTACGACGCGTGTGCGGGTCCGACGATAATCACTTGTTGTTTTATTGTCAATTTCCCCAATACTAGAGCCTGTTTTATCCAACAAACAGATTAATATCATAATAATTCTTCCCAAAAATGTCTAACATTTACTGTTTAACCGCACTTTCGTTTCCAAGATGTAGCTTTATTTTCCACATGTGTTCTCATTATAAATGAAAGCGCATTCTGTTATGAATAGTGTGGACGGGTGGGTGGCCCTGCGATGACACACAGCTATTTAGACGGGTTAGAATAGTGAACATTTCATTCCGTGCAGACAAAAGCAATGCGAATTAGGACGAATCTCAACAAAAAGAGTGAGAAAAGCGAGCGGAATGTCTTGAATAGATACTTTGTGAGTTCGGAACAGCAAAAAAAGCAGTCGACAAACGGAAACGGACATTTTGTCGACAAAATGTAAAAAATAAAAAGAAAAAAGAGAATTTGGTTTTGAGGCAGGCAGGCTAATAGAATCGGATCAGAAAAATGAACAGAGAATCAAAGTGAGCAATGAGCGAATGGAGAACAGAAGAAGGATTCAGTAGTAATGGAAAGCGCCACGACCGAGCGCCTGAACGAGGTCTTCTCTCTTCCGAATGCACTGCCTTCACTCTTTTCTTTCCTTCTTCTTCTTGATCCACTGAAAATTTTGGATATTCAAATGATTTGCGCGCGGATCGCTCACTTGAGAATGAGTTTCGGTCGGCTGGCTTACGCGTTGGTCCGTGGCGACGGCCGCCGAAGTCGCCGCCGTACTCTTTTTTCTGTTTGACTTCTTTGGCTTTGGGCGGCGGGCTGGAGGAGCTGCCGGCTCGTGAGGAGGAGATCGTGTCTCTTTGGGAGTAGCCGTGCACAAATCGAACAGTTTTGTCGAGCAGTCTGGAACATAAAGTGGTTAGGGGATGAGAGCAATGGATTAGTGAAGATACGTGAAGCGGGGCATGCCGCATGCGAACCGAGGAGTACCTGTTCTCGCTGTCCTCGTGTGAAAATTCCGATTCGGAAGGGAAACGACGAGAAGAGGGGCTGTTCCACGTGTTGTAGCTTCTCGATTCCGAGTGCCTACGGACGTCTGGGTCGAACGGACTCCGTCTGTCGTCGAAATATAGCTTCTCGTGGTCGAATAGTCTTTTGTCACGAGACGAATGATCGTAATCTCCGCTCGGTGCATTCTTCGTTCTCGAATACACGGCGTCCCGATCTCTAGGATTGAACGTCTGCGTGTCGTTGACGGGAGTCCACTTGGGACGGTAACCAGTCCGCTCCCGTTCGGATCTCGGTCCCCGCTGCGAGAGCCTTTCATTCTCCGTGTACTGCTTCGGCCGCACAGTCCAATTCCGGTTGCCGTATTGGATTCCTCGCCTTTCGTGGCGGTGTTCTGAATTAGCAGGCAATGAAACCAATCACATAACAAAATCAATGTGGGGGTGTGTTCGCATGCAATGCCAAAGTGCATTCACTCGTCGAAACTCACCTCCATTCTGTCCGAACATCAGATTCTCTGCCGAAGTGCTCTCGATCTCGTGGCGACTCGACTGCTGCGGCTGTTTCGAGGGCATCAGTTCCGATTGTTTCACCGGCTGAACGACCTCCTTCTCTGGATTCTTCGGCTCGGCTGGCGGATCTACGATAGCATACACAACCTCGCCCTGCAAATAGGTCATCTCACGAGTGCATTCACTCGATTCCCTCACCTTTCTTTGATCAGTCAGTGCTTCGTCCATCACCATCTTGGCCACCAACTTCTGCGAATCGAACTGTTTGTCGAGAGTCACATTCATCAGTTGTTGCAGTTTGATCGGCGGATTCTGATAGAGACGACAGAAGTGCGAGCAGTTCAGGTAGAGCATCGTGACTTGCATCACGAGAGACTGTTCTCTCTCGTCTCTCTCCGTCATCAGCTTCCACTTCTCTTCGGTCACTCCCGGCGTGAAGATGACGCTGTTTGCGTGCTCTCTCAGCTTGGCCACTTCACTCGCTTCCCCCTCGACGTGCGCTTTCGCCGTCTCGCAGAAAATGTCCATGAGGTGTTCGGCCACTTGAATCGCAGTCAGTCTCTCGTCATATGTGATCTGCACTTCTTCGCTCGTTCCCACTCTCTTCGCACTCAACTCCTTCTCTCGTGCAATTCTGGCAGCCATGAACAGAACAATGATGTGCTCGATCTTGCTGACGCTGTCGAAGTAGTAGTTGCTGTAGGCTTTGAGTGGAACGAGCTCTCGGATCGGATCGAATGTCTTGAGCATCGCCTTGACGAGCTTGCCGATTTCTACTCCTCCATTTCTCTTCGCCAACCTTTTTCCGTAGCTATCCACGAATGCCAGAGCTATTTTCTCGACTGCATCCGATCCTCCGAACTTGGCATGGTGGCCGTAATGCAAGAGATCAATAGCCAGTTCCACATCGAAGAGTCCCAATTCGAAGAGGGATCGGAGATAACACTCGGACACAGAAGCCGTCTCCTCGGCTTTTATCTGTTCGAAGAGATCCTTGTTCGCCTCCGAAAGTGTCTGATAAACTCCGGATGGAACCTGTCTTTTCGGTTTCTGGAGGGAGAAAGAGAACCACGAGTTGATAGAGTACTTTATCCACCAGGGCGCGCCGTTGAAGCTCTCTTCTGTTAGATATGCACACGTGTCCGAATCGAACACAACTCCGTCGGCTTCCATTCGTCCGCCGATCGACTTGAGGATCTCTCTCACCGCATCGCTTATTTCCGCCGATGTTCCCTCGTATTCAATCAGAAGCTCGTACATCAATTGAATGATTATCGGAGTAGGAAGCACGGCGTCGCCAGTTTCCTGGAATGAATTTCCGAATCGATAGGTGGCGAGCATCCGGGCGTTGTTGTTGTTCGCGAGAAGACGTTGAAGCATCCGGGTGAACATTTCCACAGCCTTTTGCGGTTTTCTCTGATTCCGGGGCAACTCGGTCAGCGCGAATTCGATAAGCGAATGCGAATCGATCAGTGCTTTGTCTTCTGCTGTTTCCGGCTGACCGTCCTTTCGTTTGCGACACTTTCCGAACGACATCGTCATGAAGGCGGCGTTCTCCCATTGGGCAGCATTCGTCCACGTGGTTCTTCCGATCACGAATATTCTGTGCAGGAGGGTGATCAGCACTCTCTCCTTTTTCACATCCTCGTAGGCGTTCGGAGTGATGTGAACGGAGCGATCGAACAGAGTGGGGAGGGACCGACAGATCCGAATGATGAGGGGAACGTATCCTTTGTTGTCGATGCAGATCAGCAGCAATTGGTGAAGAGTGTTCACGGGCGACACGAACAGATACCAAATGAGCTGAAAAAGAACGCATTCGATCGGACCCGTTTTGCCTATCGCTCACCCGATCCTTGACCTTATCGAATGCAATTGTGTTGTTGCTGAGAGTGGTCGAGTCAAGTGGCAGACTGTTCAATGCCCCCGTGAGTCCCGCACTGAAGTTTTCGATAAAGTTCTCGAGATTCGGGAGCACGTCGTCAGATTCCTCTTTGTATTTATCGTAGAGTTTGGCGGCCAGATCGTTCCTCTGTTTCTCCGTGAAAAGCAAAAACACTTTTTTGAGGAGAGCGGTGAACGTGTGCTTCTCCTCAGAGTTCTCCATCTGGTGCTCGATTGCCATATCCCAGACGGCGATGATTCTGTAAAATGGTTGAAGATGAGCGGGAAGCGGGAGACCCACTCGTTGATGAGATTCTCCGAATGAATTCCGTCCAATCGGAAGTTCGCGGTCGCATTAATCAGTTCTCGCATTGTTTTGTAGTCCGGATTTTTGGCTCGGTAATTGTTGAGCACCTGGAAATATCCAGATTGTCTTTCTTTCAATGCATACACACAATTTTTGAAAGCTGAAAAACGTTTATTTTGATACCGAGCATGTAAATAAATACCCAAAATAGTGGGATGAAGATGAAGAGGGTAAGACAGAAACGGGGCATGAAATCACAAAAGTTGGCACAAGTTCAAACGGGAACAACTCGCCATGGTACAAGAACGATTCGACTCTATTGGTGCTGCGGTTTATTCTTCTTATTCCGCTTCTTTTTCTTTTTAGGGGTCTCTACCTTCTCCGTTTTCATCACGAACTGCTTCTTCTTGCCGTCCTCGTCCGACTGTGCTTGCTCGTGTGCGAGCGAAGTGACGACGCCGTCATCTCTCGCGAACAGAGTCGGCTCCACATCTTCAACCGCCGACTTCACATCTTCCTTCTCATCTAGAAAAAACTCGCGCAGTTTCGGATTGAGCTCCTTCCAACGATCGTAATCTGAAAGGAGAAAATGCGTGTGGATAGAACAGGCTGAAGAGCTCGAAAGAGAGGACAAAGCATGCTGGACGGAAGCTTACTTTTGCTGATTTCGTAGGCCAGCTTGACGGCCTCTCTGCTCGCATCCACGTGCTTTGTCAGTTCGTAGTCCTGGTAATCTTTGTGCACTTCCATCGCCAGCCACACCTCGTAGAGCAGATGAATGCGCTTCAGCAATTCGGTGAAATAGCGGCTCTCCATTCCCACGGGAGACGCTTTCTTTGCGTACTCAACAATTTCTTCGTTCAAATAGATCACCAAATGATTGAGACTGTCGGCAATCTGATTGATCAGCTCTGCATTCTCGGATCCACGTCGCACGACAGCTTTGACCGTTCGCATTGGAAACGAATAGTTTATGAATGATGCGGCGGTGCTGTGCATGTCGAGCAGTCCATTCAGAACACCCATCGTGAATTGTCCGAGCTGAAATGAGGAATTCGTGAATTAATTAGGCACTCTTTGATTTGCTTACATCTCGAACTGCGCTTTCTTCCGGGCTATTCATTATGATTACTGATATTCTGAAAACAAAAGTTTGAGAAGAAAAATGAAGAGAAAAGGATTATTGCGAAATGAGAAAAAATGCCAACAACAAGGTTGTTTTCAAGAAAATTCGGCCGCGGCCTTGCGGAAACATTCGGAAATTTAGCGCGCTAGTACAGTCACAAATGTTATTTTTAACATTGGCCACAATAAATCAATTCATTTTCGGGTGACACTAGCAGATAGTCTTCAAACTGAGCATTCGTGCAGCAGAAAAAGAGAGGCAATTAACATCGATCCGCGTGTTAAGGGGCAAACGGGAATGTGGACGAGAAAGAGCAATGCGGACGACACCAGTCGGAGGGGTGGAATGTTCTGGCGAATAGAAAAGAAGAGTGCACAAAAAAGCAGGAAACGTCGAGAAAACGACAGACATTGCACTATTTCACATGCATCCGATATTTGGAGGACACAAAGAGAGAACAGACGAAGGAGTATTCCGAAATGCACGCACGCGCAGTACAACGACAACATCTTGCTTCGCTCATCAATTTGGTGAATTAAAAATCGGAATTTGAAACAAATTTTGAATTTATTTTCGCACAAGACTTCACTGAATGTAGTGTAAAAATTAGAAATTGCCGCCGATTTGACTTTTGCGTTAGGACTCTTCGTGAGAATCTAGCTCTGCGCCTAAAAAACAGTACACATTACCCAACTGAAAAACTAGAAATGGAGCTGAAAACCCAAGATATTTCTTTGAGGTTCGTTAGCAGAACCGCAGTAGTGAAAAACAAAAATCGGGCGGTGTGTATTCAATCTTCATGGTACAATAAATAATCTACATTGTGTCAAAACAAAAGCTGTTCGAATACTACAAGGAAAGTGTGGAAGACGAGAGTTTTTCAATAATGGTGGCTAAAAAATGGGGTAATGGGCAATATGAGAAGAAAATACACAGTATTTGTGAGACCGCCGCATTACACTTGCGGGTTTCTGAAGTTGTGCCCGGCGTAGACAGCATCGGCTCCGAGCTCTTCCTCGATGCGGAGCAATTGGTTGTACTTGGCCAGACGCTCCGAACGGCACGGAGCTCCGGTCTTGATCTGGCCGGTGGCCAGTCCGACGACGAGATCAGCGATGAAGGTGTCCTCGGTCTCTCCGGATCTGTGCGACACCATGACTCCCCAGCCGTTGGCGCGCGACAGCTTGGCGGCCTCAATCGACTCGGTGACCGATCCGATCTGGTTGACCTGAAAAATAAACTTTAGATACTAGATGAGATGTTTCATATGTTACCTTCAGGAGGAGGCAGTTGCACGACTTCTTGTCGATGGCAGTGCGGATTCTCTTCGGGTTGGTGACAGTCAAATCGTCTCCAACGAGCTGAATGGTGGTGGCGGCATGGAGCTTGCCCCAGTTGTCCCAGTCGTCCTGGTCGAAGGCGTCCTCGATGGACACAACTGGATACTCCTTGATGAACGACTGGTAGAGATCCGAGAGCTGTTCTCCAGTGAGCCACTTCGAGGCATCAGAAGAGGGGTTCTTGAAGTCAAGATCGTATTTTCCGTCCTTGAAGAACTCGGAGGCGGCAACGTCCATTCCGATGGAGATCTTTCCGGTGTATCCGGCCTTGTCGATGGCGGTGTTGAGGAGATCGAGTCCTTCCTTGTTGTCCTGGATGTTCGGGGCGAAACCTCCCTCATCTCCGACGGCGGTGGCATCAAGACCGTATCTTTTCTTGATCTCGCCCTTGAGATGGTGGTAGACCTCCGATCCCATGCGCATGGCCTCCGCGAAGCTGGAAGCTCCGACCGGGAGGATCATGAACTCCTGCATGGCCAGTTGTTTCCGGCGTGCGATCCTCCGTTGATGACGTTGAACGCGGGCACTGGAAGCACGACCTTGCCGATTCCGGCGAGCTCGGCGATGTACTTGTAGAGCGGGAGTCCCTTGTGAACGGCTCCGGCCTTGGCGACAGCCAGGGAAACTCCCAGGATGGCGTTGGCTCCGAGGTTAGCCTTGTTCTCGGTTCCGTCTAGGGCCAGCATGAACTCGTCGATGTCCTTCTGGGCGGTCACATCGAATCCCTTGGCGATGAGAGCCGGAGCAATCCTCTCGTTGATGTTGCTCACGGCCTTGAGCACTCCCTTGCCAAGATGCACGGCCTTGTCTCCGTCGCGGAGTTCGAGGGCCTCGTGGACTCCGGTCGAGGCTCCAGATGGGACGGCGGCGCGAAAGACTCCTGCAATAAAAATTTCATCATCATCGATTGCATCATCTGCTGCTGATTTCCCAATATCTCCTCTTCTTTTGTTCGTTAATTCTGGTTTCTGCTTACCTTTCTCAGTGAAAAGGTCGACTTCGACGGTCGGGTTTCCACGAGAATCGTAGATTTGGCGAGCGTGAATCTTGGTGATCGGCATCCTGAAACAAAAAGAATAAGTTCAAAATTGGTGAGCGATCGAAAGGGTCAGAACAAAGTGAGAAACAGGCACTAGTAAACAAAACACCGAAAAGATAAAATGCGGCAAAGGGGAGGGAGTGAGTGCGAAAAGAGAGGCGGCGCCGTCGATGGACGGCACGAAAAAATCGAAAGAGACCGACGAGTAGGGCGCGGCGAAGACGAAAGACGCAGAGAGAAGTGGCGAGAGAGAGGGAGATGTGTTTGTGAGCGCTCGTTCAATAGAATCGCACCGACCTTCTTTTTTTCAAGACTCAATAGCACGTAGGAATGAGGAGACAGAGACAGGGATTTGAACACGGCAAGGACAGAGAAACTGAGAGGGTTTTTTCCATTCTGCACGCATGCAATCGATTCAAACTCTCGAGGATTATGATTAGGTTCGGGGAGCGAGGAGCGCGGAGCCAGAAGAGCCCGAGTCTCCTGCCAGTCGTCGAAAACAAGCAGCGTCTTGCGAGCGAAGGGCGCCCGGGCGACGGACAACTGCTGGCTGCCGAAGAGCCCGGGGCGCCTGCTCGGCTGCCTCTCTCCAAAATACGTGACATGCACTAATTCGGGGGAGACTACTCGCAAATGGCTTCGCATGAGCGCAGACTAATTTTTCTGTTCAATGGTCAATGACCGTCTCGAAAGTGAGAAGATAAGGCTAGAAGTTGGAGTGAGTGATATGGGGGACAGAGAGAAATGTATTGTATTGTGTAACATCCAAAAAACACAAACAAGACGGTGACGTCATTAATTCTGGAGGCTCTTCTCGAATGGGAAACCGAATTTTGCATCACGGAAAGGGCAGCGCACTTCGTTTGCGAATTGGCACTTGGCAATTGGGATTGAGCGAACGGAAGTCAGTTTGTACACTGGATTGTTCGAACCGATTGGCTGCGACACACGCAAAAGTCAATAAAACGTTTTTTGCGGCACAAAAAGTAAAACAAAAAAGACTGCAAAAGCACGGCAACTGAAGCGAATACCGAGTTTCGGAGGCGAGCATTTTGGCAATCGTCTGGGGAAGTCGCGGCAGCATTTCGTCAGCTGACAACGGGAAAATGGGCGGGCACGAAGGGAAGGAAACACACCGATGAATATCCGAACGAGCGGATGGACGTCCGCCGTCGCGAATGAGCGAAGTGAGCGAGTGGGCCGCAGAGAGGAACGGAACAAACATTTCGAAATTCAAAATAACGCGGGCAGTGTCGAAACAACCGCTCGACCGGTAGATCAAAAATGTAGAGCAAGGTCGGCCGCTTCACGTCTGGATTTGAACTTTTTTATTTACAACAAAGGGGGAAACAAGAAAGAGAATAGTCTAGAAAAAGAGAAACTACTCTAAAATAACAAATTCGTCAGCGATCATTGCCGGATTCTGGTGAATTGTTTCGTCTTGAGATTGTATCGTTTATCGGTGTATTTGTCCATTTGATTAGCTACCTCCGGATCCCAGGGCATGTTCTTATCAGGACGGGAATAGTCGAATGTCTGATCTTCATAATCGAACCATTCCTTCTTCGGTTGGAATTGACGGAGCAGTCTCTTCTGTCTCAGCGAGATCACTTCTCCGCCGCTTCCCGGGAACGCCGTCACTCCTCCGTGGTACATGTGCGTGTCTTCCGGATGGAAACGCACTGCCTGCTCCATCACTGACACGTTCTTCGGTTTCGTTTCATCGCGTGCCAGTCTAAAATGATCGGTTTTCAATTTTATCTCGATAACCGACACTCACTCCGTGTACTTGGTCACATTCTTTACAGGCTTTTGATAGAACTCAACAACATCCGCCACCGTTTCCAGATGCAGAAGTTTTCCGTTTGTCGGCCAATGCTTGATCGATTTGCCCAAACGGCTGAGCAGTTCGAATTTGACAGAATTGTCTCCGTCGGCGAACTTGTACTGTTCAACGCCTTCGGCACTGATTCCTGCTTTCTGGAGACAACTCGACGCCGTCTCGAGCACCTGGTCCTTCACGTCATTGCTCGGAATGTAGTTTTGAGTGTATTTCAGGAATCTGAATGAAAACTGTTTCGTCTGTGAATTAACAAAATAAGAACCCTCTGGCTCGGATGGCGTCCGTATCAATTCTGCTGTCGAAGAGTGCGTCATCGAATTCAGCGACAGAATCGGCGGGAGCGACGACCTGCGTGGATTCTCTCGCTCGGATGCTCGGAAGTGTTTTCCGAAGGCTCTCTTGCTCTTCGGCGGTCAGCTGCTTCGCCGCTTCTTTGTCGCCCTTTCCGAAAAGTCCTTTCAGCAAGTTACCCTGCGATCGGACGAGTCGGGGCACACTTCTGTACATTCCCTGCAAAACTTACGATGCTCACTTCCTTCTCTCGTCAGATTCAGATAAATGACAGATAGAAACTCGCTGAAGAAAACTGACGCAAGCTTCTTAAGATCGCACTCCATTCATTTGAAAAGAAAAAATCAACAAGCAAAAACACGCGGTATTCTCGAATATTAAGCGGGTAGACGGGGCGGGGGCAAATAAAAAATGGTAGCAACAGAAAATGTGTCAAATTCCATCAATTAAAAGAGAGAAAGGTGGGGACGAGATACGATTGTGTTGAAGCACTCGAATAAAAGCTGAAAAAGCTGAATTTAAGGTGAAGATCTTAAGATAGGGCGATGAGTAATTGATTCAGCATGGTCTGTTATCCTGAGCGCGAGCACGAGGCGCAGCCTTGATGATGTCGTCCACGCGGAGAATTTGCTCAGTAGCTTCAGCGGCCGAGGAAACCATACACAGCTTCACGTTATACGATTCGATGACTCCCAGAGCAATGACGTCAGCGACCTCTCCTTTCTCAATGTCTGAAATAAAGCAATTAAGAACCAGTTCCAGCTGATACAAAAGTACCAATTCCGTAATTGTGACGGCCATTGGCGTGTTCCGCACGAAGTCTGGTGACCAGTTCTGCCGAGTCCAGTCCAGCGTTGTCACAGATGATGGTTGGGAGCTGCGCGAGGGCTCTTCCGAAAGCCTCAACAGCCAGAGCTTCCTTTCCGGCAACCTTCTGAGCTTCAACAGCGATGGCAGTGCTCATGAGAATCTCACTGGCACCTGCTCCGGCAACCGTTTGGAATCCTTGACGTGGGTGACGAGAACGCAGAGTGCGTCATGGAGGGATCTCTCTGATTCCTCAAGAATCTGTTGAGTGGCTCCACGGAGAACGACTGAGCAAGCTTCTCCAAGCTTAACTCCGGAGAATCGGAGAAGCCTATCCTCACCAATCATAACCTCTTCAATCAAGTCACAGTATCCAAACTGGGCAGATTGTGGAGAGTCGAATGTGGAGACAATTTCTCCTCCAAGAACGAGAGCAAGTCTCTCAATTCCTTCAAAGTCGGCGTGCTCGATAGCCATAACCTTGGCATCGGCAAAGAGCTGCTCTGGGTAGTTGTAGATGAGTTGGCGGTTGATGAAGACATTGCAGTTGTGCCCGAGGATCTTATCCACCTTCTCTTTCATTTTCAGCTTCTCAGCAGCCTCGAGCTCAGCGACCTTTGCAACTCCGTCAACTCGAACTCTCGAGCCGAAAACCTTGACCTTATCAGTGTCCATTGGTGTGTTGGCAATGAGAACCTTCGCCTTCTCGACTCTTCTCGGCTGATACATTCCTGGCAACTTCTCAAGAAGGAATCCTTCATCAAGGTACGATTCGTTCATGGAACCTCCGAGCTTCTTGATAATTTGAATAGCATCCAAATTTCCAGACCCCTTCAGTCTCAAAACGGCGTCAACGGCAAGCTGTGAGAAGTGCTCTTTGTGCTGGCTCAAAATCTTGGATCCAAGAGTGGTGCGAGCAATTTTCAGCAAATCTTCACGAATGTTGTCTCCAGACTCGAGACTCGACTTTTTCAAAGCTTCTTGGGCAATCGTAAGAGCACGCCGATATCCAGAAATGATCGTCTGCGGATGGATACGCTGGTTCACCAGTTTCTCGGCTTCCTTGAGCAGTTCAGCAGCGAGCACGGTCACAGAAGTGGTTCCGTCTCCGACTTCGTGATCCTGGGTCATTGACATATCAACAAGAACTTTGGCAGCTGGGTTGTCGACTCCGATGGATTTCAGAATGGTCGCTCCATCGTTAGTGACTTTGATACCTCCAGCCTCAGCAGGATTTCCGCTGATGAGAATCTTGTCCTAAAAAAAAGATGAGAAAACAAAGAATGAATCAGAATACTTACCATTCCCTTAGGTCCAAGTGTCGACTTGACGAGATCTCCAATAGCGATGGCTCCCACGAATGAACTGAGGCGGGCGCTCTCTCCGCGCTCCTCCTGAGCGTTGTCCTTGAGAATTTGGACTGGAAGCATCCTTCTGAAAAACAAACATTAGAAATGGTTCCGAATGCAAAGAAGACTGAGAAATAAGACATCTTCAGGTAAACGTGTGAAATGAGGCCTAATTTGCACTCCTACTGAGCCTAATTCTGAACGAACACGGTAAAATTGCTGAGAAAAGCCTCTTTTTTATTTTTTGAAAGTGAAAGCCTTTCTGGAACTAGACAGAATCTCGGAAAATGCGGGCAAATGCATAGACATCGCGGGAAAATTGTTCTCGAATGTCCGAAAATATTTAAATGTGCGATAGAGCACGTTTGCATCATCAGCCTTCGCGGACGTCAAATCGTCGGGTAATTTTAGGCCACGAAAACAAGTCCTCTGTTGAAATGAGCGGTAGTTTAAAAACGAACTCAAAGGAAACAAAATAAAAAAAACGCAATTTCGACTATACATTTATTTGTCAGAAATAATAAATTGTGAAAAGCATTTATTTTAAAGTTTATTTCAATTTATTCTCACTCGTTCAAGAATATTCAGGAAAATAAAAATTCTGACAATGTGTTTGAAAAATGCAAAAATGCCAAACACGACGACCGCAGTTTCACAGGAGATCACTCAGAACATCTTCATGCTTCTCTTCTTCTTCTTCACTTTCCGACACCCAGTCCGGAATTGACTCCGACGCCGTCACCAGTGCCCGGCGCCTTAACTCCGACTCCTCCGTTTATTCCGACGATGCCGCCTCCCTTCGCATTCGGGTCGTCCTGTCCCCGTCGGAATGCTTCAGGAGTCTTGGATCCCATAATTCCGAGGTCGAGTCCCACTCCCACTCCGACGCTTTCTCCCATTCCAGGGATCGGTCCCACATCGACTCCCCAGCCGACTCCGACCTCCAGTCCCGGCACCGCTCCCACACCGAATCCGAAATGTCCGTTCACATCCACGTGTCCGATTCCTTTGTCGGTCAACGGAGGTCCCATTCGAGGCCCTGGCAGTCTGTGGAAGTTGGGCACTCCGCAGAAGGCAGCGTAGTCCTGGAATTGAGAAAAAACAGTTTAAATTGGAATCTAGAAGAGAACGTACTTTGCAGAACTCGACGAGATCGATACGGAGAGGCTTGCTAGGCTGGCAAGTGTACGCGAACATGGCCTTCATGTCGGAGCAGTACCTCTGATCTTTGGGGTGGAGTCCCGGGTAGACTCGGTAGAGAGACGGATCCGCTCTTTGTTGGTAATATTGTCCGTACGGCGAATAGCCTCTGTGCGACTTTCGGTGCTTCTTACGGTGATTTCTCCGGCGGTACTGTTCTTCATCGTCATCGCGAGAAGATGGAGGCGCTCTTCAAGATAAGGTTTAGGAAATGTCTTTTGAGTAACAGTAGAGTTACCTGGTTGCCACTTCATCGAAAGGATCGGAAACATCAGAAGCGGCAGAAGACCTGCCAGAATTGGCCTCTTCCTCTATGAATCCTTTATTTGAATGCTGCGAGAGCTGCTCCAATCTCTCCGCCGTCAGACCGTCTCCATTTATAAGTTTCGAGCTTTGCGCCCGACGGTTTCCTCCTGAAATTTATCCAATTTCTCCTTGGTTACGTCACAAATTCTGTCGAACGAATGATTTGTTTCTGCCATTGTTCCGCTTGATAACAAGGCGTTTGCAAACAGGAAATGAGAGGAACTTACTTTGCTGACACACTTTTAAATGTGGTTCCGCGGCGCACAGTTCTGTCTTTGAGAAGGAGAGGAAGCGATCGGACGGGCGGGCTGGAAGGTGGAAAAGTTTCTGTAGTGCCATGTCATGTGAATGAGAGTTGGCGAGTAATGATGTGGTTTGTAGCCTTCAAAGAGGGAAAAGGACATAAACCACGAATAGTTGTGGTCATTGTCCGAAGGTGCGCTTTACCAAACAATACTCATCCAGAACTTACCGTCCACTGTCGATGCCAGCAGAATAGTTAGCAGAAGCAACGCTTCAGACGGCGCTATTGACCGCATTGTTGTTAAAAAATGATTGAATGATAAAGGGAAACTGTTGCGCGAGATGCGGCCCCGCGAAGGTATGTCTCTGCGTGCCCCCCTCCGCCGCGCTCTCCGCCCGTTTATCACTGTTTTGTGAAGTCACTCTCGGTGTGTGACCATTGTCAGCCTCTTCTCGGTGTAATTTTTTGAGAAAGATAGAGAGAGCGAGAGGCCCACGTCTACAAAAACTACGAAGGAAGAAGAAAAAGAAGGGAGAAAAATCTGGGTCGTTCATTGTACATGCTCGGTTTGCATCGACACTTTGTCATGGTGATTCTTACTTAGAGTCTCTGTCAAAACTTCTGTACCAATAAGTTCAACGAATTCTCATGAGAATAACATCATTCATTTTACTCGCAGTGTTAAAAGAAAAGTTGAGAATTATTTAGAAAATAATTATGTCGAATCGTTCCTCTGGAACGGGTTGATTGTGGAAGAAGAAGCGGACGGTGAGGCCGGAGTCGTGGCTTCCGGGATTGGCGGAAGACCTAAGAAGTCGTCGGATTGATCGGGCGAGTGGCACGAAAGGATCGTCGGAAGAGAGGACTTGCGACGGCAGACGGGGTCCGAGAATCCTCGAGTGAGACGAGGAGTCGACGGGAAGAATTGTCTGGAAATCGAGAAGATTTGGAAGGGATTTCAAGGAGATTGTGTTGCAGATCGGATCAGATTATGTGCGGGGTTTGCCCGGCGTAAATATCACAAGACGCTGAGATGTCTGGGCTGTTTCTGATAATATTTTCGCGTGTTCGCTCTCTGACGACAGCTGCCACTAAGCTCATCCGTTCCTCATAACCTTCTCTTACCTCAGTGTCTTCGGAGACAGGAACGGATTGTTGGTGAGCGAGAAGCTGCGCATTTTGGCGGCGCTGATCTTCTCCTGGTCGTAGACTGCGTACGGAGATCTCTCCGAACTCGTCGAGCTGCTGCTGCTGCTGCTGCTGCTCGTCGGTTCCTGTAATTAATGTCCTTTGCCTTTTGAGAGGGAGTGACGTGTTGCAAAGAGTGTCACTTCATGCGAAGAGATAATAAATTCCTGTCGCCCCCATAACCGCCAGTTGGTAAACAATCTTTTGGTTCTGTCCCTCAAATAAAAAACGAGGAACCGAAATTGAGACATTTTTGATCCCATAGAATCGCTATTTTTTGTTTGCAAGTGGAAAGTGACCGGGGAACGGATGCTTGTTATGATGATCAGAGTCTGTTTCCAATGCTTCAAGAGGTACTTAACAGACTAGAAAAACAAAAGACCCACAAACTGATTTCTGGTCGAAAAACGGTCGAACATTCGAACTAATGATTCATTTCTTTTCTTCGCTTTCTGAATGATGACTACACAGTTCTCCTTGTTGACCACTCCGACAGATTTATGGTCCGTTCTGAAGTCGACAACAAAAACTGGAGGGCATATTCAGGGAAAGCGGAACAAGAAGTCAAGTGGATTAGATTGGAGCACGATTCCACCTCATTTCTCTCCGCTCTCCAGGAACAAAAGGAAGCGTTTTGTGGGAGAAGAAAGCCTTCGGCCGAGTGGAAACAACAGCCCCCCGCTCCCAGTTGTTATTATTGTTCTTTTCTTATTCCCTTACTCACCTGGATGTCTTCCTCCTCGGATTCCGTGATGTCGTCGAACGAATTGAACGTGCGGATACGGTCATCGCGACGCTGCGTGAGGGTCGGAGGACGAGGTTCCGAAGCGAATCGGTGGGAGGATGTGGAGGTGGTGGCAGTCATTGCTGGAAGTGACGAGGAAATGAGGACTGGGTGGGAGGACGGTTATCGGAAAGGAGAGGGGGCGTGGCCGGCTGGAAATGATAAGAGTTTGGTCGTTATCTCGGCGAGAGCGAAACGTTTCATGGAAAATGGAACAGAAGCAAAACGGCAGCCTGGAAGGGAGATTAATCGAGGGAGCAGTGTCAGGAGCCAGCAAGGACTTGAAAACATCTGATGGGAAGGGGGAAGAGGCGGAGACGGGCAGACGACGGAGAGACAGAGTACGAGTTTGGAACGGGGAGAGAACAGTTGGCACGGAAAGCCCTGCTACGAAGATCGGCAAAGACCGGGGAGAGCATTTCGGAGGATCCAAAGGACGAATGAAGGACAGGAGATGCAATTAGGAAATTGGGAATAAGAAGAAGAAGAAAGTGAATAAGATGTCTGATTGGTTCGATAATCACATGATCCAACGGATATTCTAGCGAATTAGTAGAGCAGTTCGTGAGAATGTCATTATTTCGTCGGAAAATTCTAGAATCCTAGAATTGAATTGCGAAATGCCCAAGTACTTAGCGAATGAATAGAACTACTGGAAAATGTGACCACAACAAAAAGGTCTTTTACGGGCGGGTGTGTACGTTTTCAGCTGTTTTCCAGCCAACCAAAAGTTTCGTGCGATCAGAAGGTGGCTGACGTGGCATGTGAGAAGATGCCGCTTCTTTCGTAATAAACTAAGCCAATCGGAAGACGACGCAATTAGTTCAATTTTCGACTTAACTAACCATAAGTACGCCTTCTTCTCTCCATTTATTTGCCGAAAAGACTAGCCTTATTCTCTACGAATCAATCAGAATTTATGAGAGGAAAAAAGCAGTGTGTCATTAGGAATTCGGGCTCCGGGAGCCAAAAAAAGAAAGAGAAAGGGGGAGGAAGAAGACGTGTTAAGAGAAGAGTCGCCGGGTGCGTAATTGCATTGGCCAACGCCGGATTTGCCGGATGAGAATGGCCACTGACCAGTGGATCTATAGGTTGAGAGAGGAAGCGACCGAACTCTGTTTTTCGGCAGAATGAATACTATGAGTCTAAGAATCAGTGGAAAGTTGTTCCGCGGAATGGCGGCCTAGACACTATGATTATGTCGAATAACTGCGTAGTCTGGAGCAGAAGTTCTGCCCAGGCCGGGAGGTATTATAACGCCTTTCGGGTGCTTCTTGCTCTCCCAATTTCGCAAGTGCAAACAAAAAGTTGCGAAAAAACGAGCAATCTTCTCGGTGAGGGAAGGAGGGTAACTGGCCTGTCTCTCCGAGAATCGGGGGAGGGTTTCCCCTTTCTTTCACGGGAATGACTCATCGGTCGACCGAATTGGGAAGCGAAAGTTGCCCGAGGAAAAGGACGTAATCACGAATAGGGTCATTCCGAGGGCTCGCCGAGCAATGAATAATTTATTAGAGCCGAGGGAGAAAGAGCCCCCGGGGGAGTTGCAAGTTCTGCAAAAGAGCGAAAAAATTCCAGGGGCAAATCTATGAAAGTGTCCGGAAAAGGTTGTGCAAACAATACGTCTATGTAGTGTTTGAACTGGAAAGAGCTCGTGGAGGGTCTTCGACTATACGAAGAGGGCTGACGTCGTCTGAAGGACAAGCCCCGTGTGACCTGGTGACCCGAACCAGTCAGCGACCAATAAAAGCCATTTGTACGCTTTCTGACTCATCTTTGATTTCATAGAGTGAAACTAGAAAGAAAACATAGTGAAAGAGGAACTGAAGACGGTGTTTACCGAAAGTATCTAACTTGTTTTCTCATATGCTCACAGTGAGAAAAAAGACAGAAAAAAAGCGAGAAAAGAGGAAAGGAGAACAATCAAATTCGAGCCGCAATTATGGAGAGACGCGAACATTTTACGCAGAGTTTCCGGTTTTTGAGCGCTTCAAAACGATGAAAACATGTTTGCTTTTTGAGATGGAGAGAGCACGCGACGGACTGTACAGAATACAATTCGGACGTCATGTTGCAAATGATTAGAGTGATTGGATTAGGGGAATCAAGAAGGGAACCGGAAGGTTTTAATGGAATGGGTTCGCCAAGATCGGCACGACAAGGTCAGTGAACAAATATTGGGAAAAGGGAGAGAAGGACATTCAGAAGTTTAAAAAATCTAATATCAAAGTGCTGGCATTCAAAGTTCAAATGACATGGGAATCTTTGTCTTTCAAAAAAATGAAAATGTTCTTGATAAGTTCTTCAAATCAAAACAACCTTCATCTTCCTCCAAAGTACGAATGGATCCCGTGGTCTTCGAGACGCCCACTGATAAGGCGATCATTCAAAGTTACAACTTTTGTCCTTTCTTTAAAGAAGAACTATTGCCATCGCTAAAAATGTTGAAGAATGGGAAGGAGTGTGACTGAAAAGATGAAAACGTCCGAATGGAAACTTGATTGGACTCGTTTCTCTCGCCGGAAAGACGCCCTTCATTCCGGCAGGCTCTCCGAAAGGGAAAGGATGCTTTTCTCGAAGGGAAAGGTTGTAAAAGTAAAAGCCCCACCCGCGGAGAGAGTGTAAAAAAGCATGACCAATATGTGGAGGGCCTAATTGCGAAGGCGAAACGGGAAATTGGACTTGCCTTCAGGTTTCTTGGACCAGCTTCTATTGATCTGACGTACAAGTTGAGAAGGCCACTATGGTGGAAATCATTCAAAATTAGAAGAAGAGGACAAGGAAGTTTGATGTCAACGCAAGGACGTTATCAACGCGCTTCTGCGAATTGCATTCATCAATTCGAAACAAGATTTGATGAATGGCGGACAATGGACGCCCGCAAAAAAAGAGATGAGCGACTAGGTTTATGAACTTTTGCGAGTTTGTGTGCAAACAAAGACACGTGTCATCCCATCCTCGGCCGAAGAGAGGCGTTCATTTGCAGTGAACAGAACCAGTTCGATCCGATCATCACAAGAAGATAGGGATCAAACCGAAAAAGTGGTGGGCGCGCAGCATAATTGGCAGCAGGGAACGGAAAGAACGAACAGAAGAAAATCAGCAGAGAATACCAGAGGGAACAGCCTTCTTGATCACTCTTTATACCCGGCGGGGAGTGTACCGGCAAGTCCTTGAAACACGGCCAAAGTTCGACGATTCCGATCATAGACTTCGTAATCGGACTATTCAAGGATTGGGTGCGGAATGTGAAGGATCCGTGGATTCAGAACATCCCGGGTGGTTGGAAGGAGATGAAAAGTTTCCAACTGTTACATAGTTTCGATTGATGGGGGCAAAGGGAAAGCGGATTATGAACGAAAGAGAATGCGAGTTATTTGTGTGGTTTGAACTCGCCACCTCTCCGTGCTCGTCATGAATCGGAAATCAGTGGCCGATTGACAGACACATGATGCGAATTCGTGTTTACCGTAATCCGATTCATTGACTGTTTCGTCACCAAACCGGGCAAACAAACAATGATTATTACATGTACGAAGGAGTACGGTAGTTCGAGGGAATGTTTTCAGGGACGATTCCTCGTCACAAAGAATGCACCCGCGCATGTTTTGCACGTCTTCGGGTGCAGAATGTACCAAAACGATCAGTCACGACTGACTGGCTGGCAAGACGATCAATTCTGAGAAGGCCGGAAAACAGCAAAAAAGAAAACTAATCGACCATGGTCGATTCCCTGCCGGGCCGATTTCTGGAACTCGGCCCGGCACGTGAGATTTCCGGTCGTCTGGATTGTGGGAAACCCCGGCTGATTCGAGTGAGATTAAGAGGGAAAAAGGGAAACTTGAGGGGCTTAATCGCCGAGCAAAAAGAGCAGTAAAAAGGGAATTGTTTCTGAGATTTTGGCGAGATAAACGGAAGGAAATGGAGCGCATTTTGAAGAAGACAAAGAAGTGTGACAAAAAATAAACGAAAATATTTTCGTCGCCGCGGACAAAATATCAATTTGGCGGTAGTCTGCTCAATCTTGGACGTGACGTCAAGGAGAAAATCTATTTCCGCCGGAAAGTGGCCAGGGGCAAGAAAGGAGGAGCCATTTATAATGCAAAGAAGGCAATCATGACACTTGCAGAAAGGGAAAGAGCATTCGGAGCACGGAGAGAGAGAGAGAGAGAGAGAGAGACGAAGGAGGGATTCGGAAATTAGGAAGGAGGATTAGAATGAGGACGCCTTCCATCCCGTGCGAAGGGAGTCCTGGAACACACAAACATTGAATTGATTAAATTTATTACGACATTAATCGACAAAACCAGATGCCGATTTTTGGAAAACCGGCAAATGACTCATCATAACTGATGATAAAAATGCAGGGGTAAAGAACAACGAAAAAAGGGTAAAAGTACAGAAATCTCGACAACAATGAACGCACTACCGGTGGTGATGAGCACAACGGGGTCTAGATGGCGTCGGTTTCAGATGAAAGAAGACGTCATTCAAAGGAGAAAAGAGGTGATAAAACAAATTATTACAATTCTTATTAGACCAGTAGGAGATGGTTCTCAGAAAGCGTGGCTAAAGCTTCAAGAATGAGGTATTTCTTGACATGGTTCGGAGAGGATTCAGAGAAAGAGAGGAAAGAAATGTCACAACGGGAAAGACCCGAACGGTTGATGAGTGGGGTTGGGCACCTAAAACTGGTAAGACCGGTAACGAGAATGGTAATGTACACAAAACGAGGAAGAAACGAGGCTACAAGTCCTGGCAGTACATGTTCGGCTTGTTCAGATCGATTCGCAGCACTGTTTGTCCTTGCGGAGTCACTTCCGTCGTCAGCATCGACGAGGATCCCCCGTCTGAATAGGCGGAGTCGTCACTCATCTTCGAGCTCGGCGGACGTCTTCCACTCGACCCCGTGTTGTATTGGCGTGGCATGGAAGACGCCACTTGTGGCGGAGGAGGCGGAGAGAACTCCGGCGGAGGACGGTGATGCCAGCCTTGGTACAGCTGGTGCTGACTTCCGTACCGACCTTCAGCGACCGCCATACGCTGATAAGCCGGAGGGGCTGCGATGCGATTCATTTGGCCAGGAAGCATGTCACCATAGGCGATCGTAGCGTAGTCGTAAGTTCCTGGAATTGGAGTAACTCGTTGATGGAATCAGAATGAAACGTGCTTACCCGGTTGTTGTTCGTAGATTTGATGATGTGGATGATGCTGGTAGACGGACATTTGACTCGGATGAGGCAGTCGCGTGTTATACGCGAATCGATTCGCAGTATCCGAGTTGCTCAGGTACTTGTCGTTCGTGTTGTACTGAAAATTGGAAAGTTATGAAAAGAAAGAAAGGCTATCTGAAGGCCACACTGTTATTAGCTTCAAACTAGGCAGTTTAGAGTTGAAAGATGAATACGATTAGTTCTAGTTCGAATGGGTCACCGGGAGATAGATAATTCACTCTTTTCCACACTTCTCACGGTTTTTTCTGTTCGCCACGGCGACTGGCGAGTAGTCTGCCTTTTTCGTCACAACGATTCGTTTTTTCTAATTGCACAGTACAGTAGGACAATGTGACAATGGACATTAAGTGAAACGGGAAGAACTTACGAGGAATTCGCTTCCAGTCGAGCTGTTGAGTCCCGGAGACATCAGGTCTCTCTGCGCATTGTGCCGTTTGTGGTTGGGCGACGAATGGCTGGATCCTCCGCATCCACGACGGTACATCCAGTGGGCGACGTCTTTTCGCATCTTTTCCGCGAAAAGGACGTGAAACAGGAAAATGAAGAGGCCTTGGAGCGAGTTGGTGATCGTGAATGCGTACGCCATCACAACGGAATGGGTGTCGTCGATCCAGAAAAGTCCGAAGAGCCACGTGACTCCGAGCAGACTGACCAGTGCCAACGATCCCTTCACCCAACTGCGAATGGTTCTTCCGGAATCCACGTCGTGACGACACGGCAGATAGCCTCCGCTCGTGTGCTGATAGACAGTGCAGAGTGTCTTGAAGAGCACTAATGTGTTAGCACAGAGAATGAAGCAAGCGGGGCCGGCGAAGAACCAGATGAAGTGGTTGTGAGTGGTGAGCCAGCAGTGGTCGGCAGTTCCAAACCCGTTCGAGTTGAACAAGTAGGCGATGAAAACGATGACGGCCGGAGAGATGTAGCCAATGAGCAGGTAGGAGATGCGTCGGGGCTCCGATGGGAACACTTCGGTGAGCATCCGATGTATATGATATCCTTCAAGAAGCATCCATGTGAGCGCCGATAGGAACATGTACATCAGGGCAGCTGCAATCATTCCACACTGGAGAGAATCCTCGGTTCGAGTGATTCCAGCCAGAAAAGTGATCTCGGCGAGGACCAAAGAAAGGCATAGGTTCTGATGGATGAAAACTCTGAAAACGGAATGATTTTCTTGGTTAGAATTATATTTGATTGTACCTGTCTCCTCCATTTCTGCTGAAAATCAGATAGGCAAAAAAGGTGAGCAGAAGGCAGACGATGGAGATTACGCATCCGATGTAAGTTAGCAAAGTGAGAATCTTCTGATCCATTTCTCCAACTTCGTGCCCATGAACATCCATCAGAACGGCGAAGTGAGTGAGATGATCGCAATCGCAGGTAGTCATTGTTCTGTTGTGCGAGTGAAGACGGCATCCGACGGGCGACCAGTTGAGATCATTGTGGCTCCACCAGACACACACTGGCGAGTCCATGTGACGAACTGCCGATTCCTTGTGGTAAAAAGTGATGCGCACCTGGAAAAAGTGAATAAGTGTGGAATTCAAAGGAACTGTGCTTACCGGCTGCTTCAATTTGTCCACTTTCTTTTCTTTTCCGTTCACAATTAAGGAAGCACCAATGATTTTCGTGACAACCTTTCGCTTCCGAGTGATTGTCTCATCCGTTCCCGGTTTGGAAACTACGACATCTCGAGGTGTCATTTGCAGCCCGAGGTTCGTGAATGAAGAGAAGAATACTTGAGTCTCGTCTTGACCGACTTTCAAGAAGGCATCTCTCGGAATGTTTATGTTGTCCACGTCGTGTCCACTCCAAACCGCCGACGAAGGGAACAGAATGTAGTCTGTTGGCTGGGACGACATCTTTACCTTGTGTGACACTTCCACATTCAGCATCGGATGCACAATCACATTCGACTCCTTCGTCTTCTGCATCCCTTCTGCCGAGGCGATCATCGTCCGTTCTGCAGCTCGCATGAATCGAGATGCAAACTCTTTCCTTTGTAATTCATCCCAACTCTCCCAAAGTTCCTCATTTCGGAGCGTTAGACTTATGACCTCGATGAGTCCTTTGTTGACCAACTGCTGATGTTGATAAGCCCATTGCTCTTCGGCATTCGCATTCGCCACCTTCTCGAACATCTGCAGCGCTTTCGGGAGATCTCCTCCGACCATCGGACGTCTTATGTCTGTTCTGATCCGACGAAGGAGCTCTGGCATCCCAGTTGCGTCCTCGTTCAACAAGACGCTGTTCAGGAAGCTCGCCTTTTCTGACACCCAATAACTTTCGCACCCAGAACTGTTTGGCTGGTCATTCAGCCAATGTCCGTCCGAGTCGCACACCCACAACTGTTTTCCATTCGCTCCTTCCGGGCACGGAGCACTCGACGTCGTTCCGGCCTTTGTGTTCTGCCAGTTGACTCCACGCCGATTTGTTGCAGAGCAGAAAAGGTCGTTTTTCGGCTTCACAGTCACCTCCGAATTGAGAGCATCCTGCAAATACGGTCCAATGAATACAAAATAGACAGTCGTAACTCATTATAGCCCTCCCGTCGGTCATTCACCCTCACTAACCTTTTGAATCTCTTCTTCGGCCTCTTCTCCAATCACACTGCCTTCTGGAGTTGCCGTTGACGTCGTCGTCGTCGTAGTTGTTGTAGCTGAAAGTTTTGATTTTTTTTAAAAATAATTTCAAGATAAGTAAATAAGATATCAACACGTCAAAAACAACAAAATTATTGATATTTCCATTTAGATAAAAAAAGGATGCATGCAACAAACCAGCTACGACGCAGTTGTACTTCACTTCCAAGTACTTTGGCGTATTCGGACATGGATCCTCCAGGAATGTTTTGCTGTCAATGTCGAAATCGCAAGACGTCTTCCCATTGCATCTGAAATTGAGACACACTTTACACGAGCACAGCACTGTACAATAACAAGGACACAGTTTTTCATTAAGCACTCTTCAATCACCCTAGACAATGTGTTCAATCACAACATTTTCTCTACCTTCGTGGCACTCGTGTTGTACTTCCAGGTACTTGCTCGACATCGGACACGCGTCATCGAACAGAAACGTGTCGACGAAGAAGCGACACGTCTGCTTTCCGTTACATCTGGAGAGACAACCTCGCAATTATTGCATAATTCGATGTGCCCCTCGGCAAACCACTGTAATCCTCTAAATGCTACCCTTGCTTTCTCAGTTTCTTCGCACATCTGTTTCTTAGCCACCAATTTTGGGTTGTAACCGGATTAACCTTGCTAACAGTATCTTGCGCAACGCCCCGGGGCGGAAGCTTAGCGACCTTGAAACTTGAAACACGCCATGTTTTACAATTGAATAACGGAGAAACCACCTGGCCACCTCGTGTTATTTTTACAGTAGAGCGCCCATTTGGATGAGGAACAGGTGTCAGAGTTCATTCACTCGTGCATGGCCTCTTCCCGAATCAGGACTGCTTTCGTAGTCAATCACTTTGCGCAACTCCCTACGGAGATCAAAACAGGCGGCATGACCGAAAAGGGCTGTCAGCACGTTTTCGCGTCACAAATCATGGAGGTCCCAGAAGGTGAAAGGCCATCCTCTCGCATACTATATCAGGCGATCAATCAAGAAGACGACGGGCGGTCCCTCTTTCGAAGCCGGTCAAGACTTTTCGTCCGGAGGAAGGAAGAGGAGACGGCTGTCCAGCACAAACACAGATCCATACAATACCGAATTACCGAAACTTATTTGTTTTCAAGGCCCCTTCTCCCCGGGCGGCCGACAACAATGCGACTACGAGATGTCACATAAACGTGTACGACCACATACATCCGTCGAACGACTGACTTCGACCCATCGTCAATTCGTCCTTTTTTAATCATAGGCTTCACAGACATCGGTCAGCCATTTGTTGGCGAAATTCGACCAGCAGGCTCACGCAATAAATGAGGATGAAATACGAGAGGGGCAATTTGAATCACCTTCCGTGAAACAAAGGAAATAACAATTATGAGCTTCGGGACCATTATCGGCGTGTTACACAACAAAGTCCCACTCTCATCAGCAGAACTGTTCCGTCAATCGAGAAACATTTGCACAGAGATGGACTATTGTACAAGTAACACAAGAACTTGTTAGATCGCGGATACCCCTCCGGGTATCGTCTCAAATTTCGTCCATTGTTCTAACAAGTTTCGGCGAGAGGCAAATTAGAAACAGTCTATCCGGTCGAGGAGAAGATGAAGCAAACGACGCCGACGCCGCGGAGACATTGTCCCGACAGATGAGCTGTTTTTCTTTCGGTTGTATGGGTCACTGAACATTCGATAACAATAACTCGAGTCGGCCGCCCTCAACTTTCTCAATTAACCTCTATTCCGTCTTGATTGGTGAGAACCTCATGACTATGGATCTGCGGTAAAACACAAAAGGCACTCTGTTTATGCAAATCAGCCGACCCATTCTTCCTGACGAAGACCGGTTTGCTTCAGAGCCTCAAGAAGGCCCCTTGCCCCATTACTTATCGTCACTGATGCGAATCATCAAGAAGTCGGCAGCCGTCTGCCCCCGGGCTCTCCACACCCGTCCATCCATAATCCCTTCTTGTGCGCGACGCCGACATAATCCTTTTTCCCTCACCAGCGTATGGCTCTTTCCCTTTGAGCAACCACCCATCAAAAAACAGGAAAACGTGTTAATTAAACCTCCCATCCTAGATGGTGCCAGTACGCGATGTCTGCAGAATTTTCTCATTTTTCATTTCAGATTGATGGAAAAGGGCGGGTGAATGGACGCGAGAGGAAACGGGCACCAAGATCGAAGGGGCAGAAGCCATCAATTTGACACCTCGATGGGCCGTGCGTCCCCATTTCATGCTCCAAAAGAGACCTAATTGTACAGGACCAGAAGAAGCAATTAGTCATCGAAATTTATGGGCTACCACAGAGAAACAACATGTGTCCAACATACGGTACACTGGTTACCATTTACCGCATAGTGCTTCCGAACCAAAGAAGCAAACAACTGGGTTAGACAGGTGTGGCCGATCTTTTCAGCGTTTGACAGACAGATATGGACACTTCGGAGCTCACAATAAAGTATTCCCTCGCACTTTCCGCCCAACTTTCTTGGTAACTAAAGCGGAACTCCTTGACTGCTGCTGCCTGTTTCAAGGTAGTTTGCGCAGCTAATTGACTGCTGCTTTGTTTGCACAACTGTCTCCTCATCTCATCCAAACCATTTCGAAGGCTGCCAGTGCAAAGACACAAACACTCGCAGCAGTAGTGAGATGTTCCAATTCTAATTGGTAAATGATGATGATCCACGAAAATCCGCCACAAATGTCCTCTTCTTATGCCGTCTTGTTTTGCTCTTTTGGAGCATAGAAGACTCGAAACTACAACAACATATGGCGGATTCTCGGCGGAAAAGGGTCTTCTCTAATGGCCATCAATCTAATAGTGCTCCTTCCCGTGCTATAGTCTCAAATTCCGAAATTTCAACCCGAACCGCTTCTGCAAGGAAGAAAGCGATGAGCAGAAGAGGAGCGGGAGTCATTTCCGCTTCCGTGGTAGTCCCTTCTTCTTTTTCGTTCTTTTGCGAACGAAGACAGATTCGAGACAGCTGCAGAAGTAAGCAGCAGCAGCGACCGCGGCCTCAATTCATTCAAAAAATGAGGAGAGGAGGGGCAAGTCGTTTGATAGTGTGAAATGATGCGTTTCGACAAGAAGGCAAGCCATCCGTCCGGCCACACCGCTCGAAATGCGTGATCTTGCGAAGGCAGGGAGGTCGGCTAATGAATGTTCTCCAACTGACAGTAACCGAAAAAACGGAATGACGGACGACCTTGTTCGACACCGAGCGCGCACGAAGGCAATATCATTACCCTTTTTATAGCGGTATTGTTTCTGTCTGCTCTGCCAGGATGTGCCAATTCGAATCGTTCAACCGATGCGTCCATGTGAATTGATGTCCAATTAGTATACTACTCGGTGCCCTCTAATCCCTTGCCAAGGCCTTTTTCCGATTCGTACGGTCCCGGTGATAAGACGTGACCGAACAATGGTAACGAGCGTAAAACTATCCGCATATTTGCGGGAACAGCTTCGTAAACACGTCGAAAGTATTCAGAAGAAGCGGTTCGACAAATACAACAATTGATAGTCGGAGGGTGTGAGTAAGACATTACCAATGCGGCTGCATCTATTCATAACTCGTTGAATATGTTAGTTAGGTCACCTAGTGTCCACCAGTTTCCGCCCGAATAGTAAAACTCACCTCTTCTCCAGAATTGACTTGGTTTTGTGGTTCTGGCAGTTGATGTTCGACGGGACCACGTCATCTTCAGGAAGGCAGACCTAAAAATTGGTATTCAGAAGGGATTCAGGAAGGAATCGTCGTACCGCCACAGAAAATCTTCCATAGTTTCCGAGACTGATCGAGATGACTTTTCCAGGAGGACAGCTCAAAGTGGCAGCTGCTCCGTCGCAGAACGTGTGTGAGATGGTGCCTGAAATTTGAATTCTTCCTTTCTTTCCCCAGTGAAATCTTCCCCGTCGGCCATGACTCGCATAATAATTTCTATTTGTTTCATTCATATGCACACCGTTCACCTTCCTCCCGTCTGCTGTTGCGCAGCCCGTGCTCACGTTTCTGTCTTTCTTCCTCTCTCTTCCGCACGCTCTCTCTCCATGCACAGTACAACAGCCTCTTCATTGCGACGAGCAGTCTCCTCCCAACATTACGCCATCGAAACCGTAATCGTACACCGATTCACCTCTTGCTCACAAACGGAAGAGACTGAAGAGACGAACGAACGGACCGCCTGATGGACGTCAACCGATGGGACAGGCCCTCTAGTCTCGACTAATTCGCTTAGGAGCTGGCGGTGACACTGGCATACCAATTACGAATTACGTGTGTCGCATCCAGAGATGTGCTCCCCTCCACCAGTCATAAGTGGCTCTTCAGCCCTCTCTTCCATCACCGGGCGCCTCTTTATTCAATAAATTCTACTCGAAGCCATCGAAAACAACATCGAAACTTGTGTGAATTCACATGCGGGAGGGCATCCAAAGCAAATAAGAAGCGGATAGAGTTTCGTCTAAAAGCCCGGATTCAAATTACACCGAGAGCCGTTGCCCGTCCCAGATCACATGAATAATTGAGCCGGATAGGTCACCTTACCGTTTACGACCGTTCGCATTCAAAAGAAAAAGATGGATTTGGTCGACAAAAAAAGAGCCCGCTCCTTTTATGCTTCTTTTGTTTCGAATATGACAATTGACGCCCGCGTGGTTACTGCCCATCAGCTAGTTGTCGCCGCCTTGTCTATCATCTCAATCTTTGTGGATGTACACCACCGCCAAAAAGGGAATGGATTACAATCTCGGGACCCTTTTAGATAAACACAACCCTGACCATGAGAGTTGTGCAACTCGATTAGTCGCCACCACATCCATTCATCAGAGTGCTAATCCGCGAATCAGACATATGCGGCAAAGGTCGGGTGGTTTCAACACCTCCTACTGTGAAAATGGCTGACATGTGTTTCTGGTGTACCCGCTAAAAAGTGCATCGCCTAAACCACTACCGCCCTATCTAATTGTGGTCTCCCTACTGTTTTGCAAGCTGTCTTTCTCCATTTCTCCGTTACTTGCTCTAATTGACTCAATTTGGGCAGTGGGGGGCAACAAGAAGCAGGAAGGAGCATCTTCGGTCGCTGTTTACTAAAAGTATCGGTGATCACTCGGAAACTGCTGACAGATGAGTAGTCGGTCGGGCGGCGAGATCAGAACCCAAAAAGTTCTCGTGTGTACTGTTGGGATTAGTGGACATATCAATCAGTTCTTCACTTTCCATGTTGTGACAATGCCGACAAAAACAGTCACAAGAGGGTGTACTTGAAACAGAAGAGATGCTTCTACTTGCGTTTCTACGACGATGGATTTGTTAGCAGAGGACAAATTAATTCGAGGACACGTCAACGAAACCAAATGCGCGAGATTGGAAACAATGCGGGGTATTGTGTTGGCCTAATTTGTTGTGCATCCCCTCGAAATTATGGCTGCAACAATGTCATCCATACCCGGCCGGATAAGCTAAAGCACCGATTGTTAGGTGAGCGATAACAAGGGCAGGTGGCAGCAATGATCCACAGGTGCCTTTCCACCAAATAACACCTTAATCCGGTCCGCAGAGGCTGGTCCACTGATGAGGCCGTTGACTTTCATAAACAACGATTCAAATGAAAGCCCTTCTTACATTCTAGGTTGGCTTCGTCCCAAATGCAAACAAAACCGTCAAGCGGAAAGAAACTTCCATTTCGGAATTCGGAAACTCAAAAACGTAGGCTGGTGGGCCGCTCCCCCACTCATTCTCTCGCTTTCACAAGATACCTTTCCTAATCCCATCTCGCCTAAAATATATACATCGAGGCTCGCTGCCAAACAAATAAATATCCTGCATATCTACTGAGTTTTGGGCGATGACGACGACGACGACGTGTGCGGTCGGTCGGCTCTGCAGGAGGTCCGCACCGAAATGTGCACTTCCGGGCCGGTACGATAACATTACGTAACAAAGGCAGTCTCGACCGCTCTCAGCCAACGACACGATTAACACTCTCGTGGTCCAAAAGACCCGCGCACATACAGGAAGTCGGCTCGGTAGGAATCAAGGACTGACTGCCGCCGGGCGGTTTCCGTCCCCTGGGAGACGTCGGCTGATGCATAATTAGGAAAATGACATGATCTTCGAAGACGGAAACCAGAGAATAAGCGTCGTTAACTAGGCGCATCGTTAACTAATCGGCGATGATCTCAAGTGGAGAGGGGAAGGAGGCAGGAAGAAATGTTCCAAAACCGAAAGATTTTCACTTTTACCGCGAAAAGCAGAAATACTCACCATTTTCGTCGGTTGTCGGTTTGTTGTTGGCGTCAGTTGCCCCAAAAGTTAGGAGACATGCTGCTAACAGTGCCGGGAGCAGCGAAGACATCGATCTATGACGTCGCATCAGTGCATACTATCGTCTTCTTCTAATGTCGCAGATTCTGCTGAAACATATGAAACATAAAAGTTTGGCAAATGACGGTACACGAAACAAGAGAAAGCTGAACACAGGAGAGGGAGGGAGGGAATTGGCGAGAGACGAGAACGACGGGAGGACGGACGGCCGGGGAGGAGGGGCGGCAAAGGGTGGGCGGAGCGTCGGGAAGGGACAGCCCAAGGCACGTGGACAACCGTCTGGGTTCTAATGACGTGGGAAACGGTCACAGGTACAAGTATCTGCGACCAGGTGCCGTCCCGAACTTGCCGGCGGGAAATGAGTTAACTAGAGTATGGGAACGGGCAAAAACTGTGCAAATGAACACTGTGAACGTTAATTGTTCTCCCACTAAATCATTTGAATGAAGCGTGCGACATCTCAGGTATCTATATTCAGAAAAATAGAAACATTCCTTTACATTCTGTAGAGGCCTGATTAGGAAGTCTACAGGCAGGAAAAAGGAAAGACTGCTTTTTGAATACTGACATTTATCTGACTTTGGAATTTTAAATTCGAAGTGAAGTGGAGTGAAGGAAAGAAACAACTAAAATGTGACGATGAAGAGGGAGCTGGCGAGCATCTGTCGGGTGCCCTGTCTGGGGCACTCGGCAAACATTTTCGTTTTCTCTAACTGATCAAGGTCATTCGAGGGGAAATGTTCTAATTGCAGGCTTTTGAGGGACACTTTGAAAAGCGGTGAGTCACCGATAACAGAATGTGCTTCTGTTTTTCTCGTGACCGTCGGCTAAGACTAAAGGATTCTTCCGGGAAGTCAAATAATTGAAAACATCCACCTGCAGAAATCAATTATTGTCTTTCGAAATATGAAATGATTCACAGGCTTTTACAGTCTTATGGCAGTTTCAAAAGAGGAAATTGAGTCATTGTGCTTTTGGAGCCATAAAAGAAGGAGAAGAGGCAGGGAGGTAGAGAGGAAGACAAAACAAAGATGATAACTGTGTTTGCCTATGGAAATGGGGACGGGGAGAGAGAAGGAAGCAGTACAGTGCTCACTTGAAACATCGACCACTGTCTACATGATAAATTGATTCGTGGCGGATTTGGCAGACAATCTGGTTGTAAAACACGAGATTTCGAGAGGGGATCAGCAAGATAAATTGGCGTTCATATCGGCACCGAATCTCAGCTCACACCACAGAGGCAATTGTGGTGCGGGTGCGATGATAGTGCGAGGAACGAGGTGAAAAACAATTATAGGGTCAGATGACCGGGATTAGGGACGGTTATCGATGAGACCATCGTTTGAGAATAGAACTGGTCACTTCTTCGACTAATCGTAGACGACGGCTCTTTTTTATGATGACGAATACGTGGATTGACCGGCAGACAGTCTGTTGTGCAGTCGTAAAGTTTCTAGATCAGAGGATTACGGAAATGAAGACGGACTGCCGTCTGCCGTCAAATTACCTGGGAAAGAGAGTTATAGGCAGACGATTCACGGCAATCAGCAGGTATTCAAGAGATCAAGAAGGGCAATCGGAAGATGGGCAAGAGCACTTGGATATGGTATCTCTCTTCCGGTTGTCCCCGTTGTATATACGAGACCACGAGGGCTAAGAATGTCGATGTGTTTGTAAAATATTTGTATTCTATGTGCGTGTGAAAAACAGAAAGGTACGATTATTTAAATAGAAAAAAGTGAGTCAGAGGAGAAAAAGAAAAGAGGACAAATGTTTCTTTGGGTGTTCAGAAGACGACTGCACTCATCACCGAACACATTACAACCATAATATAACGGACGCGTAAATCACTCGCCCGGCCGTTCGTCTGTTTTTGATTTCGACAGGTGCTCACACAACACACATTGACGTCGAATTTAGAAAGAGTTGACGAACAAGTGAAAGCGAAATTCAAAGTGCGATGAGAAACGTATTGCATACTCAACTGTGGGATTTCCATCGCTGGCGGCCGAGGAGAAAGGGACACGCCCTTCATGCCGTGCCCATAAAAACTGACCACCTTACTCGAACATAAAAGAAGGGGAGCAAAGCCATGTTTTACGACAATTTTCCGGATACAAACAAGGTGAGCTTTTGAGTGGAGCAGGCCGCCACCACACATGCAGGAAACGCGGTCGAGCAAGATTTTAACGATCTCGTGTGCTGAATTCATTGGCTCGGAAACACAGAAAGTCGCCTGTGCTGCAGAAGGATTCGGTGCAGGGAAGGCAAGCACATTTCATCAGATATGAATTTACTGTGCGCGGGAAAACTGAATATGTATGAGGACATATTATGAGCACTTTTAATACACTAAGCAGAATGGATGAGGGGAAGGAGAAGTTGAGTTGCAGTCGCTTAGTCGTTGAGGGCATTGGACCCGAAAAAACAGAGGGAGAGCATGTGAAATGGGCTTATGAGCCGGTCAACAAGCAGAGGAGAACTTCTCTTTTAGAAATTGCTGAACGAGACGGCACTTTACTTTTTTTCGGGTAGTGAAAGAGACGGATAAGATCGGAGTAGGTTGCAGATAAAAAGATGTGCCAGTACCGGAAGCTCCTAAACACGTCAGACAGATGAGATGCGATCAACCGGAATAAGAAACACATCCATAAATCGCACACTTTGCGATGAGTACCATAAATCAACGTACACAGTCAAAGGAAGAACCGAGCGCCAAACCAGACTATGGAAGAAGGCAGTAGCAGTAGGTTTATATATAGTGGCGAGAAATTTTAATCGAAACTTGATGAAGAGGTTCCCACGATGGGCGTGAGGCGGAAGGTGTTCGAGTCGGCCGGCTTCGAATAATTCATGCTATTCCATCATGCCAGTTTACTACTCTTTTACGATTTCCGTCCGCGTATTCTTCTTTTCAGTTGGGTTTGTCGAGCTCTGATTAGTTGGAGGAAGCAGCGGAAATGCTCAAGAATCCGCTCTTTTTTCATTCAGAAGGAAGAGCTTACGCAGTGAGGAAACAGAATGAAATGGGAACAAGAAAGGAAGTAGTTCGGATGATAAATCGACATCTTTGGTGCTATTTTGAGGCCGCGGAAATTCAATTTCGGAACTGCTAGGCCAACAAAAAGAGGAAAGAATAAAGAAGAAAGGGCTCGAGGAAGGTGAACGTCGACGTCGTTTCGGTATGAAGGATGGCAGTGGCAACCGAGGGAGATGCGGAGAATGAAGAAAGCAAAGAAGAAGAAGCTGCGCGACGTGTTATTAATCGGTGCACGCAAAGTGTGGATGTCAGCTCGGAGCTCTCTTCTGTGTGAAGACATGCTAATTGCATTACGTGCTGAGTGCTCGCGGAGCCAAGTGTTACCTTCCAGATTGAGGATTCATCTTGCGCAAATGGACGGAAGGAACGCCCGTTGAGAGCATTTCTGCTAATCGGCTCGAGCAGACTTCCGAAATGTGCAAATTTCCTAGTTAGGATGTGGAAATGTTTTTGAGAAGAGATGATGGCGAGCTGCCATGTTGCTCACACATTCTAGTCGTTCGAAAATCAGCTTTGTCTCGCCGCGAGAGTATGGAGGATCTAGACATCTACTTGTGCGCTCATCCGGAAAATATGACACTGGCGAAAAAAGAAGAAACGTTGGAAATCCTTAGTTTCTGAGCGAATTGATACGAAGGTGAACTGAATGGATGAATGCAAATGTGGGCAAGCCGAGGACGAAAAGAGCAGCGAATCTTCCAAACTTTTGAATAATTTATAAGAGAATCCATTTTCGAAGGGCGGCAATACAAGAGTTGTCGCACAATCGGCGACTATTTATCAGCCAGCTATTTATGTAGGCAAGTAATTACGGCCTCAGAAGAAACTTGATACGAAAAACAGAGTGGGAAGAGAGCGAGGATTTGCGTGAAAAAGTATCATCATCATGAAGATGGGCGGGGGAACGGCGTGAAGACGCCCGGCTGCACATCAATCCGATGTATTCACTTTTTCGTGTTCGCAATGCGATATGCCAGATGTGCCGAGAGGGTTCCAGACGACTTGATAATAGACGGACGACGAGAGCAGTTTTTAAAACAAAACAGGATTATCGCGAGGAGGTTGCCCTTTGTTTTTACACCTGTCCGGACAGCCGACAGACTGATGGAAAGGTCGGCGCCGGGCGAATATTTGGATTGGCAGGCACTGGTCAAACATTCGGCAGCAGGACGTGTGAGAAAAGGAGAAGGGGCAACTTGTTCGTCAAGAATTGCAACCCGAGTTATGCTAATTTCGGGGCACAAAAAGGCGGGAAAGGCTAGGTTCCCAGTGCCACATCCATCTTGTTTCTGACTTGCTGAGCTGGTTGCTAGCACTTGTCCCGATAAGATAGTTCATGGGAAAGTGAGATGGAAAAGGGTACATGATTTGGTATCACACAAATATTATTGATTCCGTTTTCCAGCACTACGTTGAGCTAACGGATTACTCCAAAAATGCGACACTGAGAAGAGCTCATTATTGGCGAAGGCAAAAACTAATTATGCCATAGGAAAGCAGAGGGTGCGAAGGCTTTTGACATATTCATGACAGCCTTTTTGGTTTCTTTTTTGGAGGCCCCGGAATAACAAATTTCTCGAGTGTGTTTCTCCATTTATCAGCCAGAGACGGAGGAAGAAAAACGAGCAAAGTGGGGGCAGAGACACCTGCGCACTCGGCAAGAGAAGCGAAAAAACGAGGAGGAGGAGGACGGGGCTTACTGGTTGCGTCTAATTGAAAGCACTCGGCGACTGACTTTTTGTTGCAAGCGCGCGTGCGGGAATTCCAGGAGACAAGAGGAAATTGATGTTATCAGCAGAAATCGATACAGTGATAGAGGGGCGCGCGTGAGCGAATTTCTACGACCGACGGAAAATGAGATGGGCGTTTCTTTCTCGATCGGCAACAGCTGGGGTGTTCTTCTTCGAGAACCCCGAGGAAAACAAAAGGAAAAGGGAAACAGAAGAAGAACAAGTTGAATTACACATAGAAAAAAAGGGAGTACGGTATACGATCAATCTGCATACACGCCGCAGAGAAATGCATTGGCGCTTGATTAAAAATTGAAAGATGGAAACGGATTTCTGATAATACGCTGGAAAATTCCTTCTGGTAAAAAAAACTGTTTAAAATTACAGCTCAAGCAATGAATACAATCAATTCTCTCTGCTTTTCCGCAAAAGTCTGTCAAAATTCAATTCTAAATTTGCAATGGATTGCGATAAAGCACCGTTGCCAGAATTCTGTGACTTCAAAATTTGTCAATATCGATAACTTGCACCAAGTGCTTCTAGAGAATTCTTGTAAAACCGAAATTACAGTCTTCGGAAGGCGTCAGCTGATGTCTTCAGAAACGAGTGAAATGAGAAACACAAGCAGACGGCAGGCGTTGTGTCTGAACGTTCTAATGGATAAAGGTAATGTTTTACCAAATGTTGTAGGTCGTATTACGCAACTCTGACGTGCTTCTGAGGCGGAACGCGTCAAAGGACGGAAAAGTGTTTGGTGGCTACCGACCGACGGACAGTTTTAATTAAACCGTGCGCCAGACGATTGCGTACTTCTGTGCGTGCGTCTCTCTCTCATCCAAAAGAACAATGGGGGAAAGTGAATGGGAATGGAGAATAGAGCCAATCGAATAACGGTTGATACGGGGGGACCGAGTGGGGTTCATTGTGATAGCGAGTGACAAATCGAACTGTGCTCCTTCTGCGTCTCCGCTCTTTCTCGCACTCACCTTGACACTCTCCGATCATCAATCATTGTATTACGGTAATATTTATTTATCCGGGAGAAGAGAAAGTGGGTGACGGCGAGGAGGCACAGATTATGAAAACAGATAAATGAGTCTCTCCTCCGCAATCCTGTATTATTATTATCAGATCGCAGGAGGAGGACCATAAGTTTACAACTACAGATTACTACCGGGCGCCCGTAATTATTCCCCTCTCCGCTGGATAGTTATTGCATTACCGCACGAATTTATATGCCCAACGACTCGTGCGTTCGAGGGAAGTGGGTCTCGATGCGAAAAAAAGCAGAATGGGAAAGGGAAAACGGAGAAGTGAGTCACTTGGAAAACTGACCGTCAGAAGCGGCTACCGCAAATTTAATCAAGAGAACCGAGCAAAAAGAGCCGAGAAAAAAAAGTTATTCGTCCGGAACGACGACCTCTGTTATCAGTGGGGGAACGGACCGATAAATCAAGGGTCCGAGGAGTGATAAAGGATGAGTTTGCATAGTGAAGGAGGAAGAAGGAAGGAAGGGTCCAGCCAGCAGAGGAGATGCGAACTTGCCTTTGTTTATCGACAAACAAACAGCAGCAGCAGAGAAATTTGAATAAACGAAGAAAAATTGAAGGAATCCCGCGGCGCGCAAAAGAAATTGCGCCACGTTTATTCGGGTTCAAACAACAAAAAGAAAGGCGAAAACGAAAACTCACAAACAATAAATCGAGCGATTTGAGGGAGCGAAATAAAATATTTAGAACCGTTTCTTTTCTAAAGCCTTCTCCCCGCCAAAAAGATACGTACTAAAACCGAACAGAAAAGGATAGGCGGTGGATGTGGTCACAATTGACATTGTTAATACAAAAGTAATAAAAAAGAGTATGAGAATAATAACAAGCTCAAAGAAAAAAAAGATTATAAAAAGTGAATATAGAGGCCATGATTCACGATATCGTTGATTCGCAATAAAACAGAATAAAATATTATAGATTATGCCATTTCGATCGCTTCCAATTCCACCAGATTCGACGGATCCATTCGAGCGATTTTCATTTCTGAAACCATAAAGTTATAGTGAGAACTGAAAAAAAGGGCGGAGCTTACGGAAGTGATTCTCGAGCACATTTATCATGTTCATCGAATTTTCCGAATCAATGAAGTTGATGGCAATTCCCGTCTTTCCGAACCGACCCGTTCTTCCGATGCGATGCAGATAGGTCTCACAGTCGGGCTGCGTGAACCCGTCGATGACCAGCGGCGTGTCCATTTCGGTGTACTTGATCGGAAGATCGTAGTTTATCACTACAGACACCTGCGCCACGTCAATTCCTCGCGCGAACACGTTTGTCGTGATGAGCACTTTGAAGTCGCCGCGCTTGAATCGGATGATCGTATCGGCTCGCTCGACGACAGTCATGTCTCCGTGCAGCACGTCGACCTGGTGTCCGCGGGCCTTCATGTTCTCGAACAACCACATGACACTGGCCTTTGTGTGACAGAAAATGACAGATGAGGCGACGGCTAGTCCACTGTACAGGTTGACAATGGCCTGCAAAGGAGGAGTGAGCTAGGCGGCAAACCTCGTACTCACCGCATATTTGGAATCTCTGCACGCGCACTGCACGTAGAACTGCTTGATGTTCGGCAGGGCCTGCTCCTCCCGTTTCAGCCTGCAAGTTTGTTTTGGATTTTAGGACAACACAATGGTGCTTGAGGGGAAGAAGCAGGGACCTCCTACTGGGAAGGGACAATATTACTCATCCGTGAGCAAACATGTGAAAGAAGTAGAAGGACAGAATGGGGACGGAAGCTTACATGACAACTATCGCATTCTTGATGATTTTGGTGGCGAAACTGATGACTGGCGCGTCGTAGGTGGCCGAGAACAGCATAGATTGAACCGAATCGGAAGCCTCTTCGACCATACTAAAACATTATTCGTTTTTCAAGAAGACGAGAAAGTCAGCTCACTTGTAGATACTAGTTGATATGTCTGTGAATCCCTGATGGTAGATCATGACGTCTGCTTCATCGAGAACTAAGCATCTGATCATCTTCGGATCGATGCAGTGGTACTTTTGCAGGTAGTCGAGAGTCTGAAATGATGTGTTCATAGTCATAAAATGTCTTCCCAACTTCTTCCACTTACAACTTTCGGAGTTCCGATAACAATCTGCTCGGTGAGCTTCCGGCCCCTCATCGCGGCCATATTTCCTCCTTTGATTGCGTAATGAATATTCAGATTCTCCATGAACCTTCCCATTTTCTCCACTACTTCTCCAATCTGCTTTGCCAATTCTAGAGTCGGCGCGAGGCAAATGCACTGTGGACACTTCAGATTCACGTCGATTCTGCAGAGCATTGTGAGCACGAACGCCGCCGTCTTTCCTGTTCCAGATTGAGCTTGAGCAATCAGATTAGAAGGCCTGAACAGACAATTTGTGTTGGAAACGGATATTAATAGCATACGGCTCCATAAGAAGAAGTGGAAGTGCAGTCTCCTGAATTCGAGTTGGGAACTGGAAGTTGAGCGAGTCGAGAGCCTGGAGAACTTCTGGTTTGAGCCGCAGCTCACGGAAAGAGGAAATTGAATAGAGTGGCGACTTTGGATCCTGTCTCTGCACGTCGACCACTGTATCCTTCATCATTTTCACTTCCTTTTGAATGTATTTGTTCAGAAGAGCGATATCAGCCGGGATCGGTGCCTTTTCATGGGATTCTTCTTGTGCTTTCGTGTACTTGTACTTTGGATCCTGAAATGAGAGCATTTCATTTGAGACAGTCTAAGTAAACTGACCGGAATGACTGTTTGAGACTGTTGGTGACCACTGAAAGGCGGTGGAGTCCCTCTCTGTTGGGGAACGAACGGCTGAGTTGGCTGTCCTCTCCCTCGTCCCATTGCTGAAAATGACATACTTCTGTCGAGCTCACAATGATCAGGGAGAAATCAATAAAACTACTGACAGTGTCCTTGAGCGCCGCCGTAATCCATTTGCCCTCCGGAACCTCTTCCTCCTCTGCAACATTAATCATTGATTGTCAGAGATAAATTCTCTCATATTCTCACCTGAACCCTCCCTGGAATCCTCCTCTCATCGGCGGTGATTGAACAGACATGAAAGGTGCTGAAAAAGAAGAGTTAGCGGGCGTTAGAGGTAAGGTAAATAAGTGAATGTGCAGAACTAATTGGGAAAGCTATAGACATGCAAAAAAAGGTGCAACGCGTGCAATTTATCGAAGTTAGCAGGGGCTTTCTGAGTAGTTCCCCACAAACCATTCGTCTCCTCCGGTTTCGGAAATTCAGCAGAAACCTTATCGAAGTCTGGAGTCGTGCCATCATCCGAATTCAGCTCCAAATGCTCAGGTGTCTTGAATCTTCTACCAAAACTTCCGCCGACATTCTCTGCAGATCCGACTGGAAATCCTCTGTGGTTCGAATTAGGGTCTTGGTTTTCCTTCGATCTGAATCCGCCTCCGAACGGCTTTGGCGACTCTGATAGTGTGTTGAAAACAGCGCTTCCGAAAGGACAGACATTCGATGCAGGCGATCTTGCGAAGGCCGATGTTGAAGTATCGGTTCGAGATGCAAAGGTCCCGCCGATCGTAGTGATGCTACTTGTGAATCCCGCTCTGGCTGATCCGAATGCTCCTCCGGCTGTTTTCGTCTCTTCTATTACGAGCGATTCTCCGAATGATTGATTTGCGATGACCGGTGGTGGGACAGAGAAATCAGGGACATCCGGGATTGACTTTTGTCTGCCGCCGAACGATCCTCCTACAGATGGTGGAGAATCGATAGCCTGCGAAAGTCTGGATGATCCGAAAGCTCCGCCGATGGACATTCTCGACGACTGCAGTGTCGCCGATGTAATTGGCTCCGAGCCAAATGCACCTCCGACGCTCGGAGATTCAGATCTCGATGACCCAAACGATCCTCCGATAGAAACTTCCGAAGACTTTGTTTCCGGAGTAAACAGAGAGATAGCTGGGACAGTTGAAATTGGTTCACAAGCTCTCCCGACAGATGGAGGAGAAGTGACAGCTCTGGATGCTCCAAATGCACCTCCGAAGCGTGGAGATTCTGTTTGTTGTGTTTTCAATTCGGCTTGGGCATTCGGAGATGTTATTGGCTCCTGACAGGTAGATCTTGCTCCAAATGCTCCACCAACTCTTCCAGAGCCGAATGAGCCACCGACCGATGGCACAGAATCTCCGGATAACGGGGAATTGACTAGGAAACTGGAAGAAGTCACTGTTTTTTGATCGGAAGATCCTTCCCCGAAAGCGCCTACTGCACTTCCGATTGTAGATTTTGCGGATCCGAAACTGCCTCCAACAGTTGACGCAGTTCTGTTAATTCCAACAGAAGAGTCCCCAGAAGACAGCGGAGTACTTTCCATATCGGTACTTGAAGATTTTGAGGCGTTGAGTCTGTCGAAAGGACCACCAAGGGAACTGGTTGTGGATGACGTAGTTTTCAGAGATCCGATGGTGTCCCCCATGCTCGCAGATGCTCCAAAGCGTCCACCGACAGTCCTTTCTTCTTCTGAGCCATCATGCGCGCTTGAAGTAATTGTTCCTCCAAAATCTTTAGGAGCCAACGTCCCAAAACGTCCGCCTTCGTGGTTAGTCTTGAACGATGTTGGTGTGCTAGGTTTCATGCTGCGGTTAAAGCCAAAACCACCACCTCGAGTGAACGTGCATGCGGGTTTGTCTCTGCGGATCCCGACAGAGATGATGTTACCTCCAAGTGTGTCTTCAGTTGATCCCAACGGAGTTCCTCGGCCGTCCGGACTACATTGACTGCCAAACGAACCTAAAAAAAGCGATAGGGAAAAGGCAACAAAAGGAGAAAAAGAAAGACACATCACACTCGAGAAAGGAAGCGTAACTGATTGAAGCGGGGATACTTACCTCCGGCTCTTATGCCGGAAACGGCTCCAAACGAAGTCTGCGGCGGCGGCGGAGGCGGCAACAAAATCGCGGATGATCCAAATCGCCCGCCATACTTCATAACTGAAACGACTCGATTTTGGTTTGGACAATCTTTTTTTCTCACGTTTTTTCTCTTCTTTTTGTTCCATTGTCGCGTTTGATTGTTCTTCTTCAACCTGAAAATTCAGTTGTTGTAAAAATGGTGCTTTCTGACAATTATTGCACTCGGGTTGCAAGCACAGACACAGGAAAAAGGGCATGAGTTATATGTGAGTGGGAGAAGCAAAGAGCAATTGTACAGTGCGGGAAAAAGACCCGCGAAACAACACGGACGGACAAACAATGACGGAACACAGCGACACAAACACAATTAGACCACCTTTTCTGGCACTTCAAGGCCTTCCGATCGACACTGCTCATCGAATGCATCAACCCAATCAGCCATCCTTGATCTGTTATGAACGATTATCGATTAGGATTAGAATAAGGACGAGGGAGTAAGTAGTTCTTAGACAGACAATAATTAAGAACGGAACAGATGAGCGTTTTGCAGCGAGGACATTGGTTAGAGAAAAAGAGGACGGAAAGAACAAAATGTACTAGAGATGTTTTAAACAGTTGTACAAACGGAAATGTTCGCAGAGTGAACTTTTCGAAAGTTTTCCGTTTGATAACGCATGATGACGCGTTTTGCAAGTGTTTCTCTGGTCACTAACAACAACGGGAAATGCGCGAAACGGAAGAAATTTCTCTATCGTAATACACAGTTTGCGCGGAAAAACTAGTGCGATCTGCGATTGAAAATGGGATAAAACTTGGGGTAAACAAAAACAACTTTCAAAATACTTCAAATTTGGATTTTTGTTACGGTAAGCAGTACACCGTATGGCAAATTGCACACCGGACTCAACTTGTTACGCGTAATTACACGACAGATTATTAAAACGAACGAGCCTTCTTTTTTCAAATTTCGTACTTGTTTGTATTTCAGCGTTAGTTCTGTGTTTGAAATTGTTGAACGCGTTTGAAAAAATTTCTATGCACTCAAAAAATCGATTACGCTGCGCCTTCGAGCAACAGACAACTTTTCAGAAGATGAATACCGGTTTAACTGCTGGAATGGCTCTCATCAAAACGAAAACGCCACATGACCCCAAGAAAGAACTGCGGGATCGATTAGAAGAAATAGTTTACCTTTCAGAGAAGTGATCATTTACATATCGATATAACCCAACAATTAAAAGCTGTTTAGGCTAAATCACGCAAAAGCAACGTGTGTGCATTTGGATAAAGAACGACAAAGATACCGAGAAGCGGGAAGACAAATCAAAGAGGTCAGAATATTCAATAAAAGCAAGAAATCAATTGAATTCCGTTCAGAAGGATATTGATCCAGTGTGGGTATACAACGGCACATGTTTCCTACAGACCTCGCAGAAGAACAGTCTGAAGATTCTGGAGAAAGACACTCAGACTGTCGAAGACGTCCGCGAGCAAATCAATAAAGTCATCAAAGTTGTTTTGGTGTGTTCGTAATAGTGCAGATGTTCTCATTGCAGCAAGACACGGACACTTTCCTCAAATTGCACAAACAGAGAAACCTGACAGAGAGAGGATTCAATCTGAAACCGGTGCTCAGAAACGGGAAATTAACAGACTAAATGTTTTTTTCTGAAAATAAATGTAAATTCTACGTATTCCTATTATTATTTTCTATGCCTTCCGGTTTATGACCTGTCATTTATCTTATTTCTTTTTTTTTATTCACTCTATGTTATCCATTCACTTTAAAACAGATGTCAAGAGATATCAAAGAGTTTTTATATGCATGGCTCGGTAGAAATAAGCTCGGAACTCCCGCCTACGAAACCAGAACGGAAACGCGAGGAGGTAGACAGAGGTAAACTGGAACGAAGAATTGAAAACGTGTTGACCATTAAAATATTATTTTCAGATTCAAATGCGAACTCCGTGTCCCCTCATTCCCGTACACTGCCTTTGGAAATTCTAGTAATAAAAAAGATGCTGCAACGAATTCTGCTCTAGATTTCTGTCAGTATTTGGTCCGTGAAGGACGCATGCGAGAGAATGAGTTGCCCGTTCTGACGTCTGCGAGTCTGGAAGCGTCCACGTGGCAAGACAACGGACCATCCGAACTGGCGCCGATCTTCGGAAGAGGCGAGGGGACGGGACAACAAAACTTCCAACAGCCGGTCCAGAACAAGCCGAATTACCCGTGGCTAAACGCGTACGAGCGAAATGAAGGCACCCACGAACAGTACATCGCACAGAAAGCTGATGAAATTGCTGCTTCTGAAAATGTTGATTTGAAATCGGAAATACACGGAGGATGGACGATGGAGAACTCGAAGAAGGCGCTGAACGAGTACCTCCAGAAGATGAGACTGCCCGCCGTCATTTATCAGACGAAAATCAAAGAGTCAAACACTGTCAAGTGAGTGATTTCAAGGGAGGAATAGTAAAATAATTAAGGGAAATTGCAGAACGATGGAGACGATGGCGAATGTATTTGTTCCCCAAATCAACAAAAGTAAGTTACGGTAGTCCTTCATTCACAATAGGAATGTTTTTGCAGCACTGACCGGGAAAGGCACGGGATCCAACAAGAAAGTGTCCGAATCCGCGTGTGCCATGAACGTTGTTCGTCAAATGTTCCACTTGAATATCATGCAGGCTTACAGCGGACCGATTAAAAAGAGCAAAGCGAGCACTGTAAGGAAACGTTCCGTTCTTCTCTCCTAACAAACCATGTTTCAGTTGCCGGAGATTGAAGTGAATATTCCGGAGGAGCTTGCTGGAAGAGTGGTTGAGTACGTACAAAACAATGGAATCGGTCTTCCCGTCATCGACGAAACAACAGCTACTTCGGATGCTCCGAGCTCATTGCTCTCCGATACGAAACTTGCGCAATTTCCTGTTTCTGAGGTATCGCTGGTTTGTTCTACTGATCACTAATCTCTATTCAAGGTGCGCACCGCTTCCAACATCTCCTGGGCGCCTCCACTGCAAAATTGGAATCCGTGGAGAGCTTCGAACATTGACGAAGAACCGATTGCCTTTGTGGGTATTTTCATAGAACTTCTGAGGATAATTTATATGATTTAAGATGAATATGGAAGAAATTAGTGCGAAAATCATCGAAAAAGAAAACCGAAAGTCGAAAGAAAGACTTGACGCCATGTATGTGAAACGGGAGGAACTGCCGGTCGCTCAGTTCAGAGAGCAAATCGTTCAAACGGTTGCTGATAACCGAGTCACTCTGATCAAAGGAGAGACTGGCTGCGGAAAGAGTACCCAAGTCGCGCAGTTCCTTCTGGAGCACTTCATTCATACGTCGAGAGGAGCTCACTTCAATGCGGTCGTCTCGCAACCACGTCGTATTTCGGCCATATCTCTTGCTGAAAGAGTGGCAAACGAAAGAGCGGAAGAGGTCGGAGAGACGTGCGGCTACAATGTCCGATTTGACAGTGCTTCTCCTCGTCCGTACGGATCCATTATGTTCTGCACTGTCGGAGTGCTTCTCAGAATGATGGAAAACGGACTGCGCGGCATTTCGCACGTTATTATCGATGAAATCCATGAAAGAGACGTCGACGTGAGTGATTCCACTTGCGGAATATACATAAGGAGTGTTTCAGACTGATTTCGTGCTAATTGTTCTCCGTGAAATGATTAAGGAATACAAAGATCTACGTGTCATTCTCATGTCCGCCACAATCGACACTCAACTGTTCACCAACTTTTTCGATACATACCCCGGAATTGGACCAACCCCAGTTATCAAAATGCACGGAAGGACTTTCCCAGTTCAATGTTCGTCGTTTCCGTAACATATGTTCAACCTATCACTTTTACAGCATTCTTCTTGTCGGACATTCTTCTCAATCTGAAGCACATGCCCCAGTTGCCAGAGGCTAAAAAACGAAAGAAAGGAGCTGCGCCGCCGCAAGACGACGACGAAGGAGACGAAGAAGTGGACGACAAGGGAAGAAATATGAACATCTTAACGGACCCAGAGAGTAGTCCCAGCTTGAAAGAAGCAATGTCTCGTATATCGGAAAAGGAAATTCCGTACGATGTGATCGAAGAGATACTGAAGGACATCGCAGCCCGCGGCGTCGATGGAGCCGTGCTCATCTTCCTCCCCGGATGGGCCGAGATCATGTCCCTGTGCAATCGGCTCTTGGAGCACCCAGAGTTCGGTACGGAGTCTAATCTGTTTCGAAATATCAAATGGCTGTTTTCAGGTGGCTCAAATCAATACGAAGTGTTGCCTTTGCATTCTCAGTTGACCAGTCAGGAACAGAGAAAAGTGTTCAACCACTATCCGGGTAAACGGAAGATTATCATCTCAACGAACATTGCCGAAACGAGTATTACCATTGACGATGTCGTTTATGTCATTGACTCCTGCAAGTGAGTATTGTGTTACTCCTCTATCGATTTCGTCGTTTTCAGAGCCAAAGAGCGTATGTATACGTCGAACAACAATATGATTCACTTCGCGACAGTTTGGGCTTCGAAGACGAATATCATCCAAAGAAGAGGACGTGCCGGAAGAGTCCGTGCTGGATACGCTTTCCATTTGTGCAGCAAACAGAGATACGAAGCGTTAGTATTAAAAACACGGAATTTATAAAGTTAACTGTGCTATTCCAGGCTGGACGAGCACGGAACGGCTGAAATGCTTCGTATTCCTCTCCATCAAATTGCTCTCACTATCAAACTTCTCCGCCTCGGATCGGTCGGAGAATTCCTGGGAAAAGCACTCGAACCACCACCGTACGACATGGTTGTGGAGAGCGAAGCTGTCCTTCAGTCCATGGGAGCTCTCGATCGCAACCTCGAGTTGACGAGTCTTGGAAGAATGCTTGCCCTCATGCCCATCGAGCCCGTTGTCGCCAGAGTGCTCATTCTCGGAACGGCTCTCGGAGCTGGCTCTGTAATGTGCGACGTGGCGGCCGCAATGTCGTTCCCGACTCCGTTTGTTCCGCGAGAGAAGCATCACACTAGACTGAGTGGAATTCAACGAAGATTCTCTGGAAACAAGTTCTCAGATCATATTGCATTGGTTTCCGTGATCCAAGGATTCCGCGAAGCTATCGACATGGGAGGATCCGCAGCTGCGGAAAGAGAGTATTGCGATCGGTATTCGTTGAACAATCCGGTGCTGAAAATGACTGAGTGAGCATTTCTTTTGATTATTTTTTGCCAACGAATATCGTCTTTGTTTCAGTGGCGCCAGAAGACAGCTGATTGATGTGCTCCGGAACCAGTGCTGCTTCCCGGAAGACGTTCTCTACGACATTCCCGTCAATGTGAATGGTCCTGATAGGGAACTCGACCTAATGCGCTCCCTTCTCGTCCAGGCTCTTTATCCGAATGCCGCTTATTTCACTGGAAAACGGAAAGTGCTAACAATCGAGCAGTCAAGCGCTCTGATCAACAAGTACTCGGTTCTCGTTCCAATGAACAACCGTCAGGAAATGGATCTTCCGAGTCCTTTGCTCATTTTTACCGAAAAAGTCCGTACCAGATGCATCTCTTGCAAGGGACTCTCCGTTGTCTCTGCCATTCAATTGCTCGTGTTCGGAAGTCGAAAGGTTGAATGCGTCGGAGAAGGACTCGTTCGAATTGATGACATGTCAGTAATCCTTTCCAATTGTTCATTCATATACTTCTGTTGCAGGATAACAATCAGAATGAGCGTCAGAACTGCTACCGCTCTAGTCGCTCTCCGTCCGTGCATTGAAGCTCTTCTCGTCCGATCGTGCGAGAATCCAGAATCTCTCGCCGGAGTGGTTCCTGCTGATGCCGATCTGCGGCAAATTCTGCGTGACATTTCGTCCGAACAGTTCATGGCGAATGCAGGCCCAATGAGAGACAGTCTGCTGACTGACAATGCGGTAAGTCTCTTTTTTGCTTCTTGAATCCTATGTACCCCTTCAGATGACCGTCAAATCTTCTGGCCCGCCTCGCTTCGAAAAATCGTACTCAGATTGGGGACAGTCAAACAGTTTGTTTCTCGACTTTACTTTTCCTTTTCTCAATTTTGCTTCTTCCAGATTCTTCTTTCGAAAGCAACGGACAAGACAGCGGATTTGACGCGAGCTCGGCGCAGAATTCGTTCTATTCTCCAGGTAACGCACGAAGCTTTGCTTATTTTCTAGTGCCTGCCATTTTTGCCTGAAACAGTCTCTAACTCTCAATTTTTCTCAAATATCTTCAGCTGCGGGAGGAGGTAAAATGTATCAGCCGCGAGGCGGTGGCTACAGACGTGGTAGCCACCCCTACGCTTCTCAATATCGCCCTCACCCTCCACCATCTTCTGGAATGGGTTATCAGAATTTCAACTCAGGTGGTGGAGACTACAACAGTGGATGGCAGTATGGAGGGAACGGAGGATACGGTGGAAACGACGGAGGAGGATTCAGAGCACGCGGAAGAGGTCGTGGAGGCAACCGAGGCTGGAATCCGTCGTCCTGGTGATGTTTTCCCCAGCCTGTTCCGCCCACGGATTGCTCAATGTTTGGTTATTGACTGGTGACCGATCTCAATTGATCACTCCGGATGTGACGAATATTTTTATTTGAACGCACATTCCGGATAATATTTGTTACTCATTTTCGTTCCATTTTTTAATGAATTTTGCTGCCCGTCACTTTTAGATAGATTCATGCTCATTTCTTTTCGGTGGAGAAGAAGGGCAATCGGGTTGACACCCGCTTAATTGCGATGTCAGCTGCCACGTCATGCGCCTCGAAACACCACAAAATGTCCGTTAAAGAAATGGGAATTCCAGGGGGCACTTGGATAGACTTTTCTTTAAGAAGAGATCGAGGAGAATGTGAAGTATTTTAGATGTTTGAACATCTTCTAGAATCTCGAAAAACTAAATGAAAAGTTGAAAATCGTATAATTGTTGAGCACGGGTGTTTCCCGTGCTCGGAAGTTGCAGTCATTCTCCATGCTGCGGGGGTTTTAATCTATTTCTATTTTGATTCGCACAGTTTCAGATGCGAAAACAAGCATCCGGCGACAGCTGTCCGGGAGTCCTGATTTATTGTGGAAAGGTTAATCGAAGCGAAGAGAGAGCTCCTCGAGCACGGAGAGCAGCAGCCAATTGATTGCGATCAGAAATCATTGAGGGAGAAACTTTCTTTTTGGGAGGAAGCAGCAGGGAGGGAAAGAAAGCAATTAGGGGCTCTCCGTAGGGAACCGCAATCACCGGGCTAGCCGGCCAATCATCAAGTGTTTCAGACACCAACAAACGCCTCCCATTCTATTTATTCCAGAGAAACCACTTGAAAGCCGGAGCACGAGAGACGAGACACTTTACTTCTGGAAGAGATGAGAACGAATCGAAGGTAGTCGTCGTCCCGTGATTTATTCTGTCCGATTTCCGCGGGACGAGTGCATCTTGTTCCGCCATCCGTACGCCGATCCATCACTCCAGTTACACGTCTTTCTCCCGTCGGATTGCTCCTGTTTTTTGAGCACTAGTCTTCTCTTCTGCTCCCGCTTTCCCCTCTCAACTTTGATCGCTTATTGTGACCCGATGCGGGGCGTCAAAACGTTTATTGATGAGTTATGACAAGCTTTTGTGGCGAGACGAAAGTGAGGGAGGGAGTGGGAGGAGTCTTCCGAGGTGGCTGGTACTGGCGGCGAGTATGTCGACACCTGATGGCGGCCCGTTCGAGCCTGCCGCTTTACTTTCCGTCGAGTTTTCAGCAATGTAGGTCTCTTTCTCACTTTCATTTCCTCCCTCTCTCTCTCGTTCTTCTGGAGGTTCGTTGATTCCTCAGCAAGGTTTGTCCTCAACATAAAAATGATCGTATCGGATCTTCAAAGATTCTCAGAACAGTTTGCTACACATTTGCAAATCCAACACTACCCTTTTCGATGTAGACTTGTTTAGGCGAATCTAATCTTTTTTACTTTTCTCTGATCCTTTTCTCTGATCCTTGTGCTTTCAAATGATCCAAAGTTGCAAACGTAGTTGGGAGGCAGTTGATGCACATCCCAAACTGCCCATTCCCGCAGTTGATAGACACTCTTCTAGCACTCAACATTCTTGCATCCAAGTACCCAATTACAAGATCCTCACCCCATTCCTCTGAACTTTGCACCAGCTAGTCTCCCGAACCTATCACTCGTTTGCAGCCTTCAAAAGTTCCCCGAGAAATCAAAACTTTTGCAGGAATGCTGAGTCCGGCGTTGCTCAAAGTGTCACTCAATCGGAGGTTCGTCCCTTTTTTTCTGTTTCAATTGTGCCTGATCTGTGTGTTTTCAGAAGTTCTGCTCCAGTGCCACAAGACGAGGTGAGTATGAAAACACAAAAAGAAGAAAAGGGAAGCGGATGGAAGAGAACTCTGATCGGAAGGGGAGCAATCGGGCTCAGAAGAGCCGGCACCTTTGAGGACTTTCCCCAGTGCTTTGGCCACTAGCCAGTGTTTTGACGAAGATATTGTGCTCTCAGGATACTCTCCGGCCATTTGGTGGCTTTGATGAAGGCTTGTGGCGACCCACAAACCACTCTTGATTATTTCCTTCTTCAATTTCTTTTCAGAAGATGATCTTCCCTTCGCGGAGTCGCACAACCGCTTATCTGCAGCCAATGATGGAGGATCAGGAACTCATCGGATTCAACAGAGACAGAAGTCAGTTCCATTCTTTCCCAACTTACCGTTCCTTTCCTTTCCAGGACGCAGCTCTGGATCCATAATCGTAGACAGTCTCGAGCTGGCACATGTGTCCCCGAGCCGTCGTTCCTCGATCGCATCCACCCTTCCGACCGACAAAAAAACAAGGAGAAGGCTTTCTAATCCGGTGAGCGATTGGAAAAAGAAATAGATGATTCGGTCCTCTCTCTCTCTCTCTCTCTCTCTCTCTCGGGTTTCATCCGGTTAATAAGTGGGAAGAGATAAGTGGTAAATGATGAATGTTCGAGCAACTTTTTCGAATCAACTGCGAGAAACAATCGATCTTCGCCTCATCCGCTCTGACTACCAACTGTCGTTTTGGCCTGATTCGAACGAGATGATATGCCGTCTTTGATTCCTTACTCATGATCATCCGAACCTTTCACACTTCTCTTCTTCCTCCATGCGTCCTTTCTTCTTCTTTCATTTTTCTCGCTTCTCGATCGCACTGACCGGGCACCTCTGCAACTTTCGGCCTCCCATAGCCCATCCCATTTTCTGTCTTCTCATGACCTCAAATAACAGCGTCATCAGTCTCATTTCCTCATTTTCTTGCGACTCTTTGATCGTCGGCCGAAAATCAGTTTCTCGAGTGCTTTCGACATCCCGATACTCTCCATAAATCTCAGCCGGATCCCTCCCCACCCATCTGCCACCGGCAACAATTCTCCAACTTCTTGCTCATCTTCTTCTTCGCTTTCTTCTCGGCCTGTTCAAAATGTTCTCCAAGTCGAGTAATCTGCTCGGAACGACCTCCATCTTCCGCGATCAGTGGCTCAAAGATGACTTCCGTAGTCGTCAAAGACGCCCTTCTCTCGTCGGTTCCTCCCTCGGTGGGACGTCTCCCAATCGGAGGGATTCGGTTGTTCCGGGATGTAATAAAACTGTGAGTTTCATGGAAATATTTCATGGAAGTTTACAAAGCCAAATAGAAAACACATGATGCTCGTTGAAAACAAGCGGAACGAGAAGTTATTGGGACCAAAAACACGGCGATTTGTCACTTGAAGAGTGCGTTTATTTTCAGGTTCCGCTCCACCAATACACAGAGGATCCGACTCTCGCGTGGGAAATGCTCAAGGAGAAGAGACCGGTGAAGCCAGTGCGGCAGATGAGACTGGATACGCCCGTCAAGCCGGACCACGTCAGATTCGTTTGCATCGGATGCACCCACGGAGAGCAGATGGACATCTCGAGACTGCCTCCGGGGGATGTGCTTTTGGTGGCCGGTGACTTCACTTCTTGCGGTCTTCCGAACGAGGTGCACAACTTCAATAAACTGCTCGGGAAGCTGAAGTATGCGTACAAAGTAGTGATAGGAGGAAACCACGAATGCACATTTGATGACTCGTTTCTGAAACTCAGTGAGCAAACTCTAAAGATCAAAGAAATTAACAATCGCTTGCAGACAAAGAGTCGGAGCCCAAAGAGATGGCGCTGAAACAGGCGTTGTTATCAGCAATTCACTCCGATTCGAAAGGAGGAATTTCAGCGAAAGTGAGACCCTGTCAGATGATTCATACGAGTGTACTTTTTGCAGGACCTTCTCTCGAATGCGATCTATCTCGAGGACAATGTGATCGAACTGTTCGGCATCACAATTTACGGAACCCCCTGGTACTGAACTCGCTGAACTCTCCTCTTCACTTTTTGACCTTTCAGGCAACCGAAGGTAGACAACTGGGCCTTCAACCTCTCTCGCGGACAGCCACTTCTCGACAAATGGAACCTGATCCCCACCGGAGTTGACGTCCTTCTGACCCACACACCTCCGCTCGGTAAGCTCTTTGGAAAGGTACGAAGTACGTGGAAGTTGCAGGACACGGAGATATGATGAACAACGGGCAGAGAATGGGATGCGTCGAGCTGCTAAATACGGTCTTCAAGAGGGTGAAACCAAAATACCACGTGTTCGGACACATTCATGAAGGATACGGCTGCACGACTGACGGCTACACAAAGTTCATCAACTGCTGCTCGTGCAATGAGAATCTTGACATGACGGTAGGAAGGAGGGATACTATAGGTTGGCAACATGTGCTCGTTGCAGAATGATCCCGTAATATTCGACATCCCAGTGCATCCGCACACAAAGCAATTCTACGTACAGAACGTCAAGAAGATTCAGAAGCGATTCCAGAAGAAGAAGTGAACAATAATCATGTCGATCGTGTCATTCATTGTGTAATTAATTTCGCGCCGCTTTCAGCCACCCCGCTTTTCATCTATTCATCCCGTCCCCAACATAATACTCTTCATCGTCCATTTTTGCTCCGGAAATGAGTCTTTATGAATGCGATGCAGTGGTGCAATAAGAGAAAGTATTGTTGATTTGTCCTCTTGCCGCTGCTGCTGCTCTTCCAGCAGCTCCTCCTCTTTCCCCAATTGCCCCCGCCTAACCAGCAATAAAACATTCCAATTTGCAGCGAGGCTCTCGAGTCAAACATTATGAAATTCGATACCAAATTATGCTGCCCTCCTCTTTTGCCTTCTGAAATCAGATATTGCCTTTTGGGCAAGCGGTTCCGGCAGTGCCAGCGCCCGGCACTCGATCTCTTGCTCCGACAAATCCCTCGGTTTCGCGTCCCTCCGATCGCCACATCCCTTCTCCGGAAAACAGAATTAATGGAAAAGAACACGTGGTCAAGGCGAGGCATGTTTGACGAGGAAACCAAATAGAAAGCGTAAATCGTCATGTTCGGCGCGCGATTCCCCGAAATAGTTTCTCCCGTTCCGCACAGACAAAGTTTACAGCCGGGCACTTCTCGGCAAACAAGAAGGCGTCCTCTTTGTGCTCTCTGGTGCCGTCCTGCCCAAAACTCGGGCGGTTTTCAGTTTCAGCCCTCGGTCTGACTAATCTCTTCGAATGAAAGACTCACTCTCCGAATATTCTATTATTTTCACCCCGTTTTTGCTACCATGGGATTTCAGAAAAAAAAAAATAAGAAGAAGATGGCTTTCGACATGAATGCAACCACATAGTTTTCTCGAGAAATCAAGGTCAAGCTAAAATGATCTTATGTGCATCTACGAATGAATGTGATTGACGGCTTATGAAATATTTGATAGACTGCCCACAAACAACTACTCGCACTACCGCACAAACTACAGTAATCCTTGCTCTTCTCCTTTCCTCGGACTCTCATGACTTTCTGAAATCGGCTGACTCAGGGACAGTTGAACCCATGATGCTGACTCTCCGTCTATCATTCCCCTTATCACCCGCTTCCCTCCTTTATCAGCATCTCACCAGCTCGTCGCCGCTTTCTCTCGCGTCCAGTAGCCATTCACCCCTGGCCCCCAAATTTCCGAATTGTTCGTAATCTCGAATGATGCCATTCTCTTCCCTGATTCATGACTTTCTCATCATGTACGTGGCACCCAATACGTGCCGTTTTCGCCATTTCTCGATAACGATTCGTGGGAATCCTGGAAAACAGAATCTTGGAGGGGGAGGGAAATGAACAAGAGCTGACTTCTTGCTCTACGAGTTTACGTAGAGACTGCGTAGAATGGAGGCGTGAGGGCACGTGGGCAAATGAGGCAGATGTTTGAAAGCCGTCGTCTGCGCCCTGTTATTATCTTGGCACTTTCGTCCCCAGCTCTCCGTATAATCAGACTATAAACCTTGTGTGTCATCATTCGTCGAAATCTCACTGTGCAAGTGACACCTCTTCCCTTTTCCTGATCTTTCTTTCATTTCCACGCGGAACTTTGTTTTGGCCGCCTGCCAAACGAAGCCAATTGGCCCCGTATTCCTCGGACCCCCCCCCCCGTTCTGTCCTTTTTTGATCGATCAACTTCTTCGAACCAAATATTTTGTGTCATCGTCGCACATTTCATTTTTGAAGCTCTTGCCGACCGCAAAACTCGTTTTCTTCTCGCTCTTATCACTTCCTGTGTACCACCACGTGCTCCTCTTCACGATCAAGAATTCAACTGGCCATTTCAGATGTGGAACGACACCTTAGAAGACCCGTGCGCGGTCTCTTTTATCGATCAGCCGGTCGTAAAGTACCCGCTCATGGCCCTCTACATAATCGTGTTCGTCGTCTGTCTCTTCGGTCAGTTGTTTGCAGCGGCGAATCGTCGTTCTTTGCACCGTTCCCGTTATCTTTTGGTCTTTCAATTGGCAGCGACGAATTTAGTAGATTCTAGTTTCTAGAGTACATGTTTCACGCGATACGTTTCCATATTTAGCACAGAGAACAGCTCCAATTTCCGAAAAAAAGAACGCATATTGTTTCAGGCAACCTGCTGACTCTGCTGGTGATGACTACTCATCCGTCGATGCGCACCGCCACCAACTTCTTCCTCTGCAACCTGGCAGTGGCCGATCTGCTCGTCGCAGTCTTCTGCATCCTTCAGAACATGATTCACATTGTGGGCTTTGATCACGGAAACTGGCCGCTCGGCTTCGTAATGTGCAAATTATACCTCGGGTTCACAAATGTCATGCCCTGTACAAGTGCAGGAATCCTTGTTTTGGTTTCGATGGAGAAGTACATCGCCGTGCTCCATCCGCTTTCCGGGCTCAAATGGCTCACACAAGAGCATCGGATTGCAGCTAGTGGAACCGTTTGGATTCTCAGTGTCGCCATCAATTTTCCCTATTTTCTCTATGCTCAGAAATTCGAGTACGGAGGAGTCAGCGCCTGTTTCAGAGGCTCGTAAGTTTGAAAGTCTTGCAGATTGATTGTACTGAACCATAATGACTTCAGAATGCCCCTCTGGAACTCATTCTCTTTTTTCGTCTGGTACCTGGTTCCTCTGACTGCTCTTGTGTTCATCTACTCTCGGATCAGTCATCTTTTGTGGACATCTGACAGTAACCGGCAGAGCAGCAGGCAGAGCAACGGTAAAGAGGAAGCAGTCATGGAGTCAGCTGGAAAGCGGTGTTTCAGAATCGAACGGATCGCAGGGGAATGGGACTGTAGCGGGAGCCAGTTGGCAAATGAAGAACGGAAGAGTGGTGGTGTACAAGCAGGAGAGCCTCCTAAACGTGCCAATCAGGGAGAAGAAGGCGAAAGAGCCGAAGAGACCTAAAGACAGCGAAGGGAGACGGAAAGTAGGACAGGAAGTCTTATCACGGCAAATTACTTGCATGTTCAGGTGGTCCGACTGCTGGTTGCTGTCGTCGTTTCGTTTGCCGTTCTTACGTTTCCCCATCATGCACGTCTTCTTATTACAGTGAGTTACTTAAAATTCTACCAAGCCTCTTTTCTTCCCATTTGTTTATCAGACTCTAATTACATTATACCTACTTATTTTGTGTTTTCAAGCAATGCCATGTCCGAAAAATACTCACAATAGTCGAAAAATAACAAAGAAGAGGGGGGCGCACGACGCGAAATCCTTTCTCTTGAAAATAAATAGAAGCCAAATGTTCTTGCTCTTTCGAATAACACGACAATACCTATTCAGAGCTTCCAAACGGGCACAATCTGTAATTCGCATTGGACGATGCTCGCGCAGCCGCTCTCCTACATCTTCCTCTTCATATCCTCCGCAATCAATCCGATATTGTACGCGTGTCTCTCCAAACGGTTCCGAAATGCGATGTGGGATGTTCTCTACTGCAGGTACCGCCTTCCTACCATGAATTTAATACTTTAGTTCTGCTTCAGGAAAGGAGTCTTCACGATAATCTCGCGATCTCGCAACCGCACTCTTGTCAGTGACGTGCCTCCAGAGGATTCGCGCTGTCCGAGTCCGGCGGCAATCAGAATGAACAGAATCAGATGAACATACGGGTTTTTCCATAATGTGAATATTGTACATGTACATCGAGTTGTTTCTTTCGCCCCACGGGTATATTCGAATGTAAATTTAAAAAAACATGTTTCTGATCATCCACACGAACATCGCACTCTTTTCTTGTGTTTCACGATGGTTCGTTGCTCTTTTTGCTCTTTTTGTCAACAAGAAGGGCAAAATCAGGAAGCCATTAAAGACATTCGTTTCAAACCATTGACCATTTGTACGTAATAATGGCTGATAACTAACTGGGAAGCGATTGTAAGCAGGCTCTTATCAGTTATGTACGCTATTGTGTGGTGGCAAGTGGTTTGCTACTGACAGATTAACTGATCATCTTTTGACAGAGACGAAGATTGAAAATGGAAGTTCAAACTAACAAGAATGCCAATTTTCAAAAATATCCTTGAACCCGTGACCTTCAGGGTTCATGCCAATTTACTTTAGCCCTTCATGGGACCTTTTAATTCTCCCCTAGTCCCGTCTCAAACCCCATGTCGCAGATCGGTTACTTCCCTTGTAAAAATGGAGAGAGATTATGACTTCAGATGACTTCAGAATTCACGTCACAACCGTAATGCAGATTAGCAGACAGTCTGTTATCATTTGTTTTGTGTTCGGCTGAATGCACTTTCCCTTCTCATTCTTCGCCGTCACCGGCCATCAACACATTCCAACGATGTTTTCTCCGAAATCCCTTCCGCCCGTGTGACCCATCCGAACACATTCATTCACATGCAAATGGCACCCATCGTCTGATCGATCAATTCGAAGAAAGCGCTGGAAATGGAAAGGACAACAGAGGTGCTGGAACCCCAAGTCACAGTTACTCGATTATATTTGTGTAAACGAAAAGGTTCTGACACTGTTCGACAATCGAAATGATACTTGTCATAATGGTAAGCGAAAGAAGAAGAAGAAGAAGGAGGGAGAAGCAATGAGAAAGGCGTCCGCGCGGTCGACAGACGGCGCACGTCCGTATCCGTCTGGCTGACTGACCTAGTACTACTCTCCGGCTAAACCCAAACAGAAATGCGCGCAAACGACCTTGTTGTCTCTCGATCTCTCCTTCTTCGAAATTATATTGTTAACAGACCGCATGCACTCGTTTCATATATTCCTCAAGATCCCTTCCAAACGAAAGAACGAAAGCGTCATTGTTGTTTCTGAAGAAGTGTCTGCAGACGACGTGTCTTATGTGGTTTGTTGATCGGATTGTGTGACCATATAGCTTAATTAGTGTATTCTCCGATTATGCCAATTATGAAGAAGAAGAAGAAGAAGAGGAAGAAGACGTTCCCCTAGTCCACAATGCAAACACCCATTGTTTCCGAGCAGTCACAAAAGGACTGGTCAGAAAGTGTTTCAAGTGTTTGAAGAGTATCACAATTGACCTGACTTTTCAATGTTCACCTTAATATCAAGTTTTTTGTGAATGATGAGAGACGTCAGTTTCAACCATCAATGTTCCCTCTGCTTATACTTTCGATGACGTCACAGTAGCCAACAAAATGCCGTCGGTGCGCTTCGCAAATTGATACATCGAAAGGGCCGGTCAGTCGGTCCGCCACCGCTTCAAGCACCTAGACACCGTGCATCCGCGCGGAAACGCAGCTGTCCGCAGACTTTCCCTTTCCGAAGTCGGCGACGAGATCCGCCGTATGTCGAATCGATTCCCGGCCGTTCTCTTCTCGATATTCCTTGAAGAACCAGTCTCGGAGCGACTTGAATTTGTGTAACTTTTGCCTTGTCTCTAGTAATAATACACCCCGCCCGCCGAAATGAATGCCTCCGACCCCCAGTAGCTGGCTTCTTGTCCAAACTGGTACGCAGACCAGTCTGTTGCCAAGTGCTTCTTTTGCTTATCAATTAACTGATGTGATGTGTCGCAGTTTCCTGATCAGTCGTCGTCTGTGGAGACGGAGAAGTGCCCGAAAAACTGTTTGCCAAACTGGAGGCCCCGAACAAAGATCGCCTCACTGTTTGGTATCACTGAAATGGCTTCAGTTTTCTCACTTGCGATTGTTTCTCTTTTTTATTCTTGAACTTACAATTCTGATTTCGATTCGAATGACAATGACATTCCAGTCACGACCCATAGACTTTGTTCAGGAATCCACAACGTCATCTTCTCTCTCTCTCTCTCTTTCCCTTTCTGTAATTCTTTGAACTTCACTCCGCTTTTTCTCCGGTTTCTGGCAGTTTGCACTCTGAAGACGTTGTCCTCTCGGATGGGAGGAATGTCGTCCGCACTCCCAGGATAACATCACCCGACCATCCGATTTTTGCGTTTGGAAACAACCTGTTTCGTCTTCCATCTCGAGCGAATCAAACTCGAACCGAAGGCTTGCCACGTCAAACATCGGCATTTTCTTATTTCGATTTCTTCCATAAATTATCCGACATGTTCTGTTTTTTCTGTTTTTTCGGCCTGTTATCACCGCACCCCGACGTCTCCCAAAACAGTCGGCGTCCCGAGTGATCCGAGTGGAAGAAAGAGAAAGCTCCAGCTACAATCTAGCCTCATTTATCTGCGCCCCAAACAAACACGATTCCTTCGTTCTTCCCCTTCTTTCTTTTCCGCCGTCCCAACTTGATCCGAAAGACGTCAAGAAAGATACGCGTGTCCATTTGAACGTGGCAAATTGGAAGTGCAGTTGAAGTGCATCCGGTCAAGAATGTGAACTAGTACATTTTGATTCATATCTTCATATTACGTGATTCTTAAAAGTTGTCCGTACATATTTTGATCGACCGCATCGGCCCTCAGCCCGGAGAGTAATTGTGAATGAAAACGAAGCGAACTAGGTCATAAAGAGGGTCGAGAACCGTAACGAACCACAGAGTATTTACGAACGGAATGGGATTCAAAGTTGTTTCGTTTCTTCTGAACTCCTCTTAGATGACGTGCTTTCAAATGTTTCCCATTTGCCAAACTGCTACTAATCTTTCGATTCCGATTTAGCAAATGGGCATATTCCTTTCTTCTGCAAACAGTATTCTGCTGTTTTTACAGTGTGCAGAGCTTCCAGGAAGCCCCATTATTTAGCGAATGTTCGCCCAGAGTCGGAACGGAAAAGTTTAGCAAGTTGAAAGTACAAAAAACGGAAGCAATGTCTGTCGTCAAAACATGGCCATGATCATATCAGAAGGTGTCCCGAGAGAGAAAGAGACAGAGAGTCTTTTCTTTTTCAATACCAGTTCCCCCTTCTCTTCCTTCTTCTCTATCTGATTTCGGCCCCTTACACCCCATATAATAGTGAGTGTCTTCGGACGGTCTCTCTCAAAATGACCCCCGTTTCCATCGGATTCTTCCACTCATTCTTCCGTCAATCCCGCTTTCCTCACGACCTCAATTGTCCTCACTTTCCCTCCGAAATACAATTCCTACTACCTCGCTTATCCTAATCCTTTTTTCCAGTCGCTAACTTTTTATTCTCCTCATTCCAGATGCTGCTTGGGGTATACCTTTTGCTCTTATCACCGGCGCTCGTCTCCGCCGGTCTGGAGGAGTACGACGAACCGTTTATCCTTCAGTTTATCAACCGGTCACAAACCCTGGACCTCAGTCCGAAATGCAGACAGAGTCTCGCCTTGGTAAGTCACAGTTCAGACGGAGAACGGAGATGAGAATAACATGAATTCAGGTGTATGACTACCTGAATGACATCGAAACTCTGACCGACCAGAAGATCTGCTACTTCGAATCGTTCGCCACTGGGCCCAATGATTTGTTCTTGTCCAGAGACCAGGATCGGTGGGTCTATAAAGGTTTGTACAACTGTGACCTCATCAAATCGAACACAAAATCTTTCAGGCTACGAATGTCTGCTATCCGCTGGAGAAACAGTATATTCGAAATCTGAGCACCCGATGCACTACTGTTACACCCACGACGACGACAAAGACAAAAGAGTTCCGGCCTTCTCCGTCTGCATTCCTTCTCCGTGTGCCGACGAAAACCAGAAGTTGCTTGAGGAATGGCGTCGGATGACACATCCAGAGGCCACCGAGCCCATCACTTTCACAGCCTGCACGCGTTCTCGCCACGCGAAACAGTGGTTCGAACTTCCCGTTCCGATCGCCGACTTCGGATTCAACATGTGTCTCCTCATGCTCGTCATAATGGCGACGATCTTCCACAACATGCGCGGAGACGACGCAAAGTCCTTGTCTGCCAAGTTCCTCCTCGCTTTCTCTGCCAAAACGAACTTCAAGAAACTGATTGCTCTTCCAAAGGACCCGCAGAGCTGCATCACTTGCTTGCTGGGACTCCGTTTTGGTTCAATGGTCTGGACCCTCGTGGGTCATTCATTCATCTTCGTGCAAGCCTACATGGAGAACGTAGAGGAGTTCAAGGTCTCCATGGTCGACAACTTCTTCAACCAATGGATCACCAATTTCACTCTCTCCGTCGATGTTTTCCTCACTCTAGGAGGCACCGTTCTCTCTTTCAGTTGGTTCCGAAAATGGGAGAAGAACACTTCAGGTACTCCTGAAGTAGCAAGAATGTTAAAAGTTGAACCGTTGGTTTCAGAAGAAGAACCAACGTGGTCTTCGTGGGGATACTGGCTCCGGTTCTACCGTCACCGCGTCGTCCGTCTCTATCCTGCCTATCTGTACACTCTTCTGGCGATCACTCTCCGTATTTCGGTCACCCACTTTCATCCAATGTGGCCCCCAACTGATCCGGCCATCCAATGCCCCAAGTACTGGTGGCAGAATGTGATATTCGTGAACAGTATCCTCGACAATCAGTGCATGCCGTGGACATGGTACATTGGAACCGAGTTCATCTACTACCTTCTCTCTCCGATTTTCCTTCTCACGCTCAGGAAGGCACCAAAGCTCGGATTTGTAAGTGTTCCCTTGAAAACCAGTTAATAACCTACTTCTTCTTCAGATACTTTGCTTCGCCGTCATTATGGTCTCGGCTGGCCTCAATGTTGAGTCAATTATCCGCAACAACTTCCCGCCGACGCAATTCCTCTGGAAACAGCCGGAGATGTTCAATCCCAACTTCATCCAACACCATCTCGAGCTCTACATCAAGCCGCAGTACAGAATTGGCCCATATCTGATCGGAATCCTTCTCGGATACCAGTTGGCCAGATATCAAAGAATTGCAGTCAAACCACAGCCGACCAGCAAATACGCCGGTGAGTTCCTTCTTCCTCTCTCTCCTCTAACTGCAACGACTCCTCTAACACAACTCCTTTCTTTTTCAGTTACCATGTGGTCTATTGCTCTCGGCTGCATTTTTTTCGGCCTCTACGGTCTTTATCCGGCCCTTCAAGGCTGGGACTCGATTGCCTGGAGAGCATATCACTTGCTCTACGGAGCCTTCCATCGTGACGTCTTCTCCATCGGCGTCGCCTTCCTCATCTACATCTGCCACACCGGACTCGGAGGATTCATCAACGTCTTCCTCTCTTCCAACTTCTTCCTTCCACTGGCCAACTTGAGTTTCTCGGTCAGTTTGTTTTCCTTTCTAACTCTTTCCATTGATCACTATTTTTGATAACAGTGTGTTTGAAAGACATCACTTCCTTGTGCACTCCACTTCCTTCTTTCCCCAAATAACTCCCTTCCAGGCCTATCTCTTCCACATGATCCCTGTCGTGCTCACCTACATGCTCGTGCCGTTCCCCATCTACTTCAACACGCAGATTCCCCTCTTCATCCACTGCTTTGTCCAACTTCTCATCACTTACGTCTTCGCCATCATCTGCAGTATGGTCAGTGAATTGCCGGCTCTCAACATCGAACGGCTTCTGCTGGCGTCTCCGCCCAAAACGACACTGAAACCGATTCCGGCGACGGACTCGGAACTGCAACTGAAAAGTTCCGAAAAGGCATGATCTTCTTCGTCTTTTCTCGTTTGCATTCGCATTCATTTCAACTGAAACGGGACATTTGAGGTAAATAGAGGGCGTCCGTGACCCGGCCGCCCGCCCGCCCTTACGAGTAGTGACTCTCTTTCCCTCTTCCGCCATCCAATCCCTCCTCCTTTTTTCTTCACTAAATAGCTCCTCCTTTTGCTTTACCGTCTTCATAGTCTAGCCTCTTCCGCAGTTTGTTTTCCCCACCGCTTCTTGATGGTCTTTCAGTAATTGAACCCCCGGTCATTGACTGTTTCCCTCATTGTTTCTCTTCTTCTCATGTACATATTTTGTTATGACAAAAATGAAATAAAACAAAATATTACAAGAATTTATTTGTTTTTCATTTTATTCTACAAATAGATTATAACTTATCACAACTTGACGACTGTGCTCTATTTTCTGAAAAGGGCAAGTTTAGGGAAATTCAGAAGCTCAAAGTTTCGACCTTGATGCGCCAATCGAAGCGGCCAGCAACTCGACGACCTTCTCGATCTTCGTCTTATCCGAGTTGATTCCAAAAGTTCCCACACGCCAAATCTTTCCGACAGTCGCTCCGAGCCCTCCGGCAATCTGAAATAACCACGGAGTTCTATCTCTCCTCCGTGCCGATCTTTCTCTCACCTCCACTCCGTGCGTCAACATCTTTCCGGCCACTTCCTTCCAGTCCACTCCTTCCGGCACTTTGATCGTAGTCAGACACGGAAGTCTCAGCTTCTCATTCTCTACGAACGGCTCCAATCCGTGCTTCTTCAGAGCTGCGTACAGAACTTGAGCATTATCTTTGTGTCTTTGGATCGACTCGTCAATTCCTTCCTTTGCGATAGCGGTAAGGGCAGCTCTCAGAGCGTAGACGGTCGAGATCGGAGCAGTGTGATGGTATCTGAAAAAAAAACATTGCAGGAGGTATTCACTTTGTAATCCGTTATCAAACCTTTTCAGCTCTCCGTCACATCCCCAGTAGTTGCCTAGTTCGAGAGCGTCGAAGTAGAAAGAGGCAACGCGTTGTTTTCTATTCCGGATCTTTACGCTAAAAAGCAGAGAATACGATTTTAATGTGTTTTGATCGTTACATGGCTCGATCGGAGAACGAGATAGGCGCGAGACCTGGCGGCGCATTCAGAACCTTCTGCGTGGCCGAATAGACACAGTCCACTTTCAAATCGTCGGCGGCGAACGGAGTGCCCCCGAGGGATGCGACCTGAGATCGATGAATTCCTGGCTACAAGGATTGAAACGCGTACCGTATCGACGAGAAGAAGAGATCCGTGCTCCCTGCAGGCGTCTCCGATTGTCTCCAATGGCTGGGCGACTCCGGTGGAACTGTCTCCCTGGCAGACAAACACGAGATTCGGCTTGTACTCGGCGATAGCCTTGCGGATGTCTTCGACTGGAACCGCTTGTCCGTGAGCCGCCGTGATCTTCTTCACTTCAATTCCCATTCTGTTGGCCAGGTCAGCCGCTCGCTGGCCCCACAGTCCGATTTCAACGACGAGGAAGCGGTCCCCCGGCTCGAGCAGATTCACCATCGCACATTCCATTCCGGAGTGACCTGACGAATGAGTTCTGTTGGTCGGAGACTTCTGGAAAGGACATACCAGTGCCGCTGACGGCAAAGGTGAACTTGTTGTCGGTTTTGAAGATGTACTGAAGGCCCAGACGGACGTCTCCCATGATCTGGACAAACTCGGGATGAAGATGTCCGAGGAGCGATTTCGACTGGGTCTCGGCAATCGAGTCGGCCATGTTGGAGGGTCCCGGTCCGAAAAGTTGACGTGGCGGAACGACCATCTCCTGCAGGAGAGCCTTTGGCGGAGCACGGGACGACATCGCTGACTGCAAGAACAAAAATGCAATGCAAAGCCATTTTTGAAAGATCATTTTTGCGATTTGATTGAAAAAATGATCCTCAAAAACGTAAAACCAATCAATTGGAACATGTAAAGGAGGGAAGGGGTTATAAGGCAAAGTCCACGAGGAGTACACGCTTGTTACTCTAGGCCACGTCCATGGAACGAAAATAAGACGGCAATAGCGGGAAAGGCTAAAACCTGCCTGTAAGAGGCGCACGGGATGAGTGAAAAACAGCAAAAAGGCAGACAACTGCACCAGTGAACAGTTTATAAAAGAGATAACATGTTTTCGATGTTTGATGACATTTTCCCCGCGGGGCGTTTCGATGATAGTGAACTGATTGAACTCACAGTGGTTCCAATACCAAAAATCGCGGCGGACGGTCTCAGGAATCTTGTGCCGAGCATTGGAGGTTCGACGAGAAATCAGGAAAGAATAGGTTGAGGAAAGAAACTTAGGAGGGGGGAATGGGAGGCGACGACAGCCGGGCAGTGTCTGGGACTCCGCAAAGGACATTCTTTGTCGCTGGCTATCACAATAAATGACCAGTCGGTGTAATTGATAAGAAGACATTCAGAGAGCGGTCAGTGCGTCTTGCTGAGTGCAGAAACAGACGGTAAAGGAAGGAAAGTGCGGAATACACGTGGGCAAGAATAGACGGAATGGGAAAGCATTGTGATCGAGACTACTAAGATCAGTGTTCACGTATTGAAATGACATCATACCTGAAATGGTAAACTAGTGCCTACCAAGAATTTGCTTCTTTCTAATTGAACAAAAATCTGTGAGAAGATTCACTTAAACATGCTCACGAGTGCAATAACCACGTGGATTGATAGTGAAAGTCATCCGAAAACACAGCTGAAAATGGCAGACACCTTAATGTTATCACTAGGCACACAGGAAGGGATTCCAATTTCCGGCTCCTCATTCGCCGACACATTGCTCTTTGGAGTGCTGCAGTTTCATCGTCTGTTTTTGTCGAACACACTCTCCGTCGCCTCCCCCTCCTCCCTCCCGGATCACAGGCGTGCCCTTCGATCCCGATCGCTGCTCATCCACGAATCTTTACACACCGACTTTTCGTCTGCGTCTCGCCAATCACTCCCAATGTTTCGAGAGTTGCTCCAAGCCCGGGAGCCAGCTGCCTCTTCTTCTTCTTCTTCTTCTTCTTCTTCTCCTTCCCTTCCACACATTCCACAGCGCAGTTTGTATTATTATTATTGAGCATCATGTCGTTGTTTCACATCAGTTTCGACCGCATCCCTGAAACCGTTTCTCTGTTTGGTTTGCAAAGAAGCTCCAAAGAGCCGCGCATCTCGCAGCCTCTCGACGGGGATCATGCGAAAAAGGGGCGGCGTCCAAACTATTGACTCTTTCGTTTATCTGTCTCACGTGTTGCTCTTTGTCTCGCAGTCACCCCCCCCCCATTCCATTGATTTACAGACACCCTTTCAATGGTTGCAGCCACAGAAATGGACACAGAATCGAGAGTTGAAATCAAAGTGAGCACCTCTTTTCCTTTTTGCATTCCGTAATGCTCTCAATGTTGCAGCATGACGACAGTTCAGTGGAAGACGATGAAGATCAAGATGAGAAAGAGCCTCCGATTATGAAATTAGACTTTGAGAAACTATTCAAGATGGCTGAAGATCCTGACATGGAAGAGCTGCTCAGGTCCCCGTTGGACCAAGCTTTGATAAACTTGGAGTTAGTTTAAAAAATAATATGTAACAATTTTACAACTTTGTAGAAGTGGATCCGAAGTCCAGAAGCTCACTTCCATTCGGACATTCCCAGACATTCTGGATTCGTCGGACGGAGAAAAGTGTCTACTGAAGATGCTACCAGCCATTCAAACTTGTCTCAAAGTGGAAAAGTCGAACCTCGATCTTCACTGCGAAGCTGCCGTCATTTACAAATCAATTATTCAAAACGATAAACTTGTCAAAAAGTTTCAGTAAGAACAGATCTTATTTTGTCTTTCCCATGAAACTTTTCAGAGGAATCGTGGATCTTCTTCTCGAGAACATTCTTCAGAATATTCAGAATCAAAAAGAGCATCGTAAGTGTGCAGAAGTGTGGCCGAATGCATTCTCTTCCTTCTGTTTTCTCTATCCTCTTTCCATTTCTAACCGTTTCCAGACACTCACGAAAAGGAAAAAGTTGTGATAAAGGCGGGAAGTAGCGTCAACAACCAAATGCACCACTGTATGTCCTCCCTTAACAACGCCCCTGTTCTAGCACTAACACCGCTCCTAAAGAAAACAGAATCGAAGTGTGGTCGGGAACTGAAATTCAGAAATGAAATGTTTTCAGTGAGTGCCGCTGCTTGGTTGGAAACAATCGTCGAAGTGGCAGAAAAGCTCTCTCTAAGCTCCATAAAACAGTTTGTGAGTTCTGAATTCAACTACAGCTACAATCTGTTCACTTGCAGATCATTCCGGTCACACAGACGCAAGCAGAGCCAGTGCAAAGGGTACAAAGGAGGATAATCGCCACGAAGATCATTCACAAACTCGCGTTGTTCCTCCCTCCGAATGAGTACATTTTTTTATTGTATCACTTGATATATTATGAGTTTAGAATCCGGAAAGACCTGTGTCCGATCGTCGCTACCTTGTGCAACGATGCAAATTCGAACGTGAGAGTGGCCATCGCTCAACGACTTTTCGTCATTTCGAACGCATTGAAGTACGCCGTTTAACCTCGAAATCACCAATCGTAAACATTCCAGAAACTCGCATGACGTCGTTTCCTGCTTGCTCTCTTCGTACGTTCAACTTCTGGGAGACGAGGAAATGAATGTGCGGGAGGCGGCGATGAACAGTCTCACGGAGGCGTTCCCTCTCTTCACCAGAGGTACTCATTCCATTCATTATCAATATCATCGTCTTTCATTTCAGATGCCAGAAAACATACACTGTTCAGTACAATTAAGAAACTGACGGAAGAGGCGTTGGAAAAGAAGAACGAAGGACTTCCGGTGATATCTCACAACTTCGGAAAGTGGTCGTGGGAACTGAATGAACTGATCGACCAGTTGGACAAGTCCTGGATACTCAACACCTACTGCAAAATGGTACAGATTTCCGACGAATTGTGCGAAGGACCACAAAGACTATCCGAAACGTTTTGAAAAAGACGTGCTGCTTCAATTATCCGGTATACTTTTCGACGATGTTTCTCGTTTCACACCTCTGGTTTACAGTGCATGCTGACAATGTTCAAGAAACAATTAGATCGTCTTCTCCCTTTCCTTGAAATGTTTTGCACTGATCCCGGTAAACTGTCATAGAGATCGTCTCCCAATCGAACCGTTACCAGATGAAGACGTGCGGATCTCCATTGCCGCTTCCTACCACGAGATCTTGATCATGTTCCCTGATCGAACAGAATTGATTCCTCCCTTCATTGAACTTCTTCACGGCGGCTCTTCCGATGTGATTGCCAAAGTGTCTTACAACCTCTCGAAGATTTTACCACTACTTTACGATAATGTAAAGGAGAACCCTGGAGTGAGCTCGAGTTGCTTCGCCTCTGATTACTAATCGATTCTAGAAAACTACCGTTCAACAGCTGGACCGACTTCTGATTGGCTGCAATCAAATACTTCGGAACACGAGTTCATGGAGGAGTCACGAAGCATTTCTAAAGAGTCTGAAGACGTTACCCAACTGTGTGGAAGAAGAAACGATCATTGATTCGTTCGTGCCGCTTCTCAAGAAAGAGATTCTGAATGTGGTATTCATTTCGATCCTTTTCATTCCTTTTCCATATTTAATTTTGCAGAGAGCAATTCCGTGCCGAGTAGCCGCGTGTGAAACACTGCTCATTCTGATGAGGAGCATTTCACAGGAGAGCACGAGAACGGAGATCATCAAATTCTTAAATGAAGGTGTTTTCTGAATAGAAGAGTTCCTTTTCACCATAAACTTCAGAGCTCTCGAAGCACACTTGCTGCTACCGAAGGATCACTTACATCGACGTCGCTGAAATCGTCCTCTCCGTTTACAGCAAACGGATCTTTGTTGAGCACTTTCTGGATGACACCCTTCGGCTCACTTCTGACCCCGTCTCAAACATCAGGTTACCCTTTCCCTATTCGAAAGTTAATTGCATCTGTCCATTTTCAGAATCCGAGCACTCAGGTTCCTTCCGAAAATCAAAGCTAAACTGCGACTTCCGGAAGACGACGAAGTGCTGCTGAAGATTGAGAACTTTGTGAAAGAACAGCTGAGGTCGCCGGAGCAGAACGAAGCCACGAGAGCAATCATAAATCAGGTAGGGCAAAGAAGTATTTCCTGAAGAGAAATGACGGCAGTGCAGGCGGCTGTCGAGTTGTCGAGATGCGAGACTTGTTCGGATTCGCACGACGATCAGAAAGCGAGAGAAGAAGAGGAACTGTGGGCTGAGAAGAAGAAGCAGAGAAAGAAAGACTCGAAGATAAAGAAGCCGAGTATCCGCAGCCGAGTGAGAACGAAAGAAACGAGGGAAGAGGAGGGCGAGGAGGAGGGAGAGTTCACGCGGGCTTCGGGGTAAGCATCCCTCCATCCATCCGACCACAAGCGTCTTCTTTCCTTTCAGACTCCGTGTCCCATCGTCCCCGATCCGCTCAACTTCACCGTGGAGAACCGAGCGCAAGGCCATCGCAGTCGTCCGTCCACAACCAGTGCTCACTGTCCGTGCCCAGTCTCCCTCTCCCATGTCCTACCGTAGCCCCAGTCCTGCTCCGAAAGAATCTGCGATCCGTCCGAGTCGACTACCGCTGAGCTCAGCCGCGAAAGAACGGGACAAGCTGAGGAGAGCAGCGCCCGATGCACCTCCACTGCCCGTCAGAAGTGCTCGAAGTGCTTCCGTGGTCGCCAGCAGGAGATCTGACGCAATGACGTCATCCACATCGTCAATCGAATCCAACAACTCCAATTCGTCTTTCTCTTCCTTGCCCTCGTCCGGATACGGTCTCCGTCGTTCGGCCACTTCCAGTAACGCCTTCGGAGGCTCATCGTTCACTTCCACGTCTTCTTATTCCCTGACGCACGCCCGTTCTTCCTCCAATATCCGTCGCCCTGGATACGGTCTCTCTCACGTATCCAGTCTGAGCACTTTCGAACGGAAACCTTCCCAACTGTCGCTGAGAGTTCGAAACGGCGAGCTTTAAACCTTTCTTGCTGTTTTCCCTTCACGGGTTTCCTGAATCGTTGCAATGAAATTGTTGTTTTAATGTGTTCATTTAAACAAAAAACAAAAAAAAATCAAGAAAAAGAGTGGATGTCTCTCGGCTTCAGATTGAACTGTTTCGCTTCCTTCTGCACATCCGCTGCTACGTGCATCGTCGTTTTCAGCAGCTTTTTCATGTAATCCAAGTGAGCAAGCTCCACCGCTTTAATCTGAAACAGATCAGAAGTTTAATTCAACAATTGTATTCTTTCTTTCGTACTTCTTTGCGTCTGGCGAACGAGGCAGCAGCGAATGAGGCGAGGAGGGATCCGAAAATGATCTGACAGCCGTAGAACTTGTAGATTACATGACTGAAAATCAGAACGATGAGAGTAAAGGAGCAGTAGAATAACACTGACGTGACAGCACGCCCGGCAACATAAACCGCTTCTCCATAAAAGATGGGAACGAGACAGGAAAGCCAGCAGATGAAGGCGAGGAAGCCGGCACTGAGGGTGTGGAGATGGAGAAGGGCGGCACAATTATAGACACTTCCAAAGTAGAACTCGAGGTAAAGCAGAATGAAGACGAAAGACGCGATGAGCATGAGCAGGAAGATACTGTAGCAGTCGTAGACGATGAGTTCGGCACATCCGCAGATCAGAATGAGCAGACTGAACCCGAATTCGCACTTGTATACAAACGCCGTCCGACGCCCTGAATCGGAGGTAGAGAGATAGATGGGACTGGGGACCCACAGTGTACCATGAACGAGCTGTTCAGGTAATCGCCATTCCTTCGGTCTTGATCAGAAGTCGTTTTCGTTGAGCTCATGTTTGTGTAGGAATGAGTGATTTGGTCTGTTTCTTTTATCAGTGAACTATTTCATGTTCACGTAACCACTTTTCAATATGTTTAAAAAATTTATTTGGAATCACCGATTTATCCATGAAATGGTACATTGTTAACACTTTACCCGAAATCATAATTTGGAAAGATCTTAAAGAGAAAAAATAAACAGTAAGAAGAAGAGACTCCTGCAAAACTGATTCTGATGAGGGGAATAGTTGCACAAGTCACTTTGGCAGGAGCACACACTCACGTTTTTCAGCTGTCCCACTACTCTGAAAACGAAACTTCAGTGGCCTCTGAAACCCTCTGAAACCGCTTACAATTCGGATTTGTCCTCCGAGGACATCGGACAATGATGCTTGAACTTGGGGGCATTCACAGTTTCCATCAGGTTGGACAGGCAGTTTCGGAGCACCACTTTCTCGCCTACAACATGCTCACTATGAAGACAAAACTGATGCAAAGCTGACCTGAATAATAAAAGTCCATTTTGACGCACTTGTCATTCCTTCCGCAGATGGCGATCGGAGTGTTCAGGAACGAAGGCTGCGAAGTGAGAGTGACGTCGGCGCAGCTCGAAGACACTTCCACGTGGCCGACGTTGTTCTGGAAGCGATCAAGTGAAGGGATCATGTGAACGAAAAGAAATGGATACCTCCGAGAGGGCATCAAACAACGCGCTCAGATTCTCGCGACTTTGCGGAGGGAAGAGCGCGTCATTGCGGGAAAGAACGTTCTGTCTGAAAACGGAAAACATGGAAGAAGGGAGGGAAATAGTGGGATGTACCTGTAGTTGAGGGCCACGCAGGAGTAACAGGCGAGCGAGTCGACGACGTCGAAAAGTTTGAAAGCGACGAACAGAAACGTCGTCCATCTATCTGAAAGCGTCATCGTGCGAAGTGAGTGAGGCTCGGCGCTCGATTATTAATTGAGCCCACATTCCTCCACTCAAGACAGCCTTAATTAGAGCCCGAAGGGGGAGCGCGAGTTTTGATTAAAGCAAATATTTGGGAGAAGAAGAAGAAACGCACAATTTGCTCGATGAAGACGCATCCATTCAGCCGAAGATTCTGGAAAGAAGGGTGGAATTGTTGGAAAGTTGAGGAGGAGTAGGGCGAAAAGGAGAAGAAAAGGAAATTGAATGGAGCGAGGGAGTCTGTGCGACGGAAGACTGGCTGATTGAGTAAGTGGAGGCGCGGCAGGCACGTTGTCGTCGATTTGTTCTCATTAAACAAACAAAACGGGCAGTCGTGCTCCGCCTCCAAAACATCTGGCTCCTCGACTGCCGCCCGTATCAATTTCCCTCTTTTGGTAGTCCCCGAGAGTCAATAACACGACGAGAAATATGCACGGAAAAGGGTCTGACAACAGAGTGATTTGTGAATGCGTCGGCTGCGTGCTCCACGTGCTCCTTACGTCCTGATCTCCTAGGAGACGAGGACGCGAACCGCTCAAAGCGTGAATCTTCTTTGAGTTGTTATGAAGACTTCAGGAAATAATATCAGAAAAGAAGTGGCAAATTGCCCTAAACGAATGCCAATCAGAGTAAGTGGAGGGTGGCAGTTGCCAGGGAACAACTAGATCCATGAATCAGAATGTTTCCGCTGGGAGGTCTGATGTCAATGTTTGTGAGAAGAAGTGAAGGATGGATTGTGTGAAGTGGTAGGCGACCGCCACCCGAAACATGCCTGTGAGAACCTTTTGCGCGTCGAGAAAGAGCAACAGAACCCATGAATTATGCAGTTTTACGACGACGTTTCGACGATGGCTTATCTGCATTATTGTCTTACATTCGGGAATTGCCCAAAGAAAAGAGAGGAGTAGGCGGCGAGCAGCTTCTTTTTCTGCAAACAACTTCTTTTTCTTCTTTGCCTGTGAGGAAATTGGGTGCGAGACTCTGGAGCAATGTCTGGATAGATGTATGAATATCCATTGGGGACTGAACATTGTCGAAGGAGAGAAATGGAGAATATCAACAGAAAGAGAGAGGAATCTGAAAGTGGTCACTCGATCTATTACTGTATGAATTTTCAGACAAAGCTGAAGTGTTGTCTTCAATCTCACTATGAATCCGACGGCTCCTTCGACTGGATGTCTAAAAAAAAGAGCCGTATCGGTTCAGTTAGCAGCCAAAATCTAATTGGTCCAATCTGAGCCAGTGCTCCCGAAGTAATGACCTTTCAAACCCCTATTATTCTTTTTCTTTTGAAGCCGAATGCCGCCCTTCCTTCTCGATGAACTTTCGTCGGATTCTCACGGCATCTTCGTCGCTTTCATGTCGGCGACGTGTCGCGGCAGCCGCTTCACACTTGATCATTTATTCATAATCGTGCCTTCTAATATATATCTCTTCCCTTCGCCACTCATACATTTCTTAAACGATCCACTTCTCACTGCCCCATCGTCTTCTTCTTCTTCTTCTTCTTCTTCTTCTTCTTTTTCGAAACAAACATATGCCATACTCCTTTTGATAGATTCCCTCATTCGGGTTGCGTGGCGGCAGCATCACATTGGTCTGTGACAAACTGATTTGCGATTTCGGGTGGCCACTGGGGAATTTCCGGAATTTCGGAAAGATGTCGTTTCCGCACGAGACGGACCACTCGCCGCCGCTTTGATGGACATCGTGTTCGACTGCACGAGAGGAAAGAATCAATTAAGATGTTCTTGCCGACCGGACCGCCCATCCATCCGTTTTAGTTCCATTTCACTTGCCCTTGCTTTCCTATTTTCCCTCAAAGTTACTGTTGTCGCTGTGAGTCGAATACAAACAGAAGCAAGATAACAACACCTCGTCACCTAGGCGCTGTTCTCTGTGATAGAGAAGCAGAAGCAGCGGAGGAGAAGGAGGAGGAGGAGATGTATATAGTCGAGTCATAACTAATTGAAAAAGCGGTTTCTTCTTGTTTTGTTACGTCTCTATGTTTGTGCTGTGAGCCCCCTCTTTTCGCCGCTAAAGAAGAAGGCTCCTCTCACATTTCACAAGTGGGCCAAAATAGAGAAAGTTGTGTGTCGGATTTCCCGAAGCAGGAGCGAGAGAACTCACTCGGATGAGCCCCCACCTCCGTATCTTTTGACCAGATCTGCGTGCCAATCGAATCAGAGTTCGTGAAGGAGAAGAAGACTGACACACTTTTTTATGGGTTGGAAGATGCCGGATCCCTAGGGAACTTCCGAAGATCCGCTCTAGATTCCTAATTTATTCGAGAAACGGCTGTCGTAATCGAATGAAAACTCGCTCTGACACCGAGCTAAAAGGGCTTGTGCTCCTTCTGCTTCATGTGCCACCTGTCGCCCTCTCTCGTCATGTCTAATTGTTACATTTCTCGAGAAGCTGCTGCTGCTGCTGGGTCCATGTCACATTTACGTGTCTGTTCCCTTGTCCCCTCCTGGCTCCCACCACTATTATTATCCAAATTGGGCTCTCTCGCCCCCGTTAATCCATCACGCTCCCTCTGTCCCAAAAACATACGGGATTTCTTTGCCAATTTCAACTGCTCCTCTTCCTCCTCCTCCTTCTTCTTCTTCTCCCAGCTGCTCCGCCGTCATTCCAGCGCCCTTTGCCATCCTCGTCGCCTCCACTTTTTAATTAGAAATTTCGGAGTGCCCTCCCTTAGACTCACTAGAACTTGGCCCGTTTTCATCGGCCAGATTGGGTTGTATGTCTGTGTGTGAGAGTGTGCCAACTGCCGTCGTTTTGTGTTGCAGATGAGCACATATGCACCACAAACTCAATCAAAAATACGCGAAGACGTGCGCTGACAGACCGCTCGTTTCGATTATAATAGGGTCGTCCGATGGGGCGGCGCTTCGAGAGGAGCGGCAGAAAGAAACCTCGGAGCTCGAATTCGATTTGCGACTTGTTTATGTTCCAGTTGACGGATCCACAGGTTCCCGAACGCGGAATCACTTCGCGAATTCACAATATTCAAATATAAGAGACTGCCGTAATACCTTTTCGAAAGTCATTCCATTCATTCTTCTAATAGCCGCCTTCAACTGAAATTAGCAATTCCAGACATTTCTGACTAAAAAAGCCGTCTTTTATGCTGTGAGAATGCCGTCTTTTTCCACTTTTCAAACCCATTCATCCACCCGCTAACTTTCTGCTTCTGCCCGTTTTGCCTCCGTTCCCATAGGTACTTCGTCCGCAATCCGATACCCTCCGGCCTCCCTCCAAAAGTACATCGTCCTGTCTTTCGCAACTCCTCTCCAAGAGGAAAATCTCTCAGATTTCACCGCGCGCGCCATCGGTCGCCTGCTGCTGCCGGAGCATTTTTAATTAGGAGTGCTCCGCCGGCCATCCGGGTCCTTGTTTGTTCGGCCGCCTCCTGGTATAGTTCCGAACTCAATTTTAGTAGTCAGGAAGCGAAGACGCCGCGATATTTATTACCCGTTTCCCGTGCCTGCTACTTGTGTTTTCTCAAAGATACCACCCGCGAGCACATATCTTACTGGCTCCGCCGCGATTTTTAGCACGTCATTAAAAGAGAACAAGATGTGGCATCCGGCTGTCTGACACGTCATCTTCCTCATTTGGCTCCGCCCCTCCGACGGCTCCGTGCCCTGCCTTTGCCCATAATTACCTTCGTCAACCTAGTCATCATCACCTTTCCTTTCCCGTGTTATTTCTCCCCACGTTTGTACCCTTTTCCTATTCCAGCCATCGTTCTACACCTCAAATCGCCCGGGCATATCAATGTGCTCTCATGAGCCGGAAGAAAAAGAATGGTAAGTGACAGGAAATGGAAGAAACGTAACTAGGAATCACTTAATTTCAGGCTTCTCAATCGTCTCCGTTCTTGTACTGTGCTCAATTGTGAAGGTGGCTTGTGAGGAGTTCGAACTCGAGAACACGGAAGCGTTGGTCGAATGTGTTCAGTGCGTCCAACTGTGGCGGTCCGCGTCCGCAAAGGAAGGAAAAGTGTGCAATAGCGGGGCATCCACGTGTCGAGGGAACGCCTGTTTCATGAGTGAGTTTGTCTTTCTTTATATAGTTACCTAATGTTATCTTTCAGGACAATGCAAACACTGTCCTGTCTACCAGTACATGTCCGGGTGTGTCAACTTCTCCCCGTGGCAGCTCGCAGACCTCGAGGTAGCCTTGATTCTTCTGTTCTCTTTCAACTTTGTGATGTTTTAGATGAATCGTAGGACATCAGAACTGCGAATGCGACGGGTCGGCGCCGTACTTCTCTGCGAAGACACCTTCAATCAGACGACGTGCGTCTGCAATCGCCGCGACAAATGCAACTCGATCCACTCGCGTTTACCTTTTGCCACCTATTCGGAAGGACTCTTTCGCGGAGTCGTCAACTTTGACACAATCATTGCAGCAATGGATCCAAGGTGATTTCAAGTCTTCGTCACTTTCTCATACTATCAACATTGCAGATACCTCGAAGTGATGTCCGGCTACCACTTCCGATTCCTC